AATTTAAGAGCAACCTTAAGGGCCGGAGTGATAGTTCAGCAGGTAGAGTGTCTGCCTGGCATGTGGCCAACCCAGGTTCAATCCCCATCACCCCAAAGGGGTTACCCCGGGTCCTACCAAGAGTGATCCCTGAGCTCAGAGCCAGGAGTAAGTCCTGAGCACCATTGGGTGTGATCCCAAAACTAAAAGTAAAATAAAAAGCAAGCTTATCATTCTCTGACCTAGAGTCAGTCGTCAGTCAGTCTCTGTCTCTGTCTCTGTCTCTGTCTCTCTCTGGGTCACACCCAGCGGTGCTCAGGGGTTACTCCTGACTCATGCACTCAGGAATTACTCCTGGTGGTGCTCGGACCATATGGGATGCTGGGAATCAAACCCGTGTCGGTTGCGTGGAAGACAAACACCCTACCCGCTGTGCTATTGCTCCAGCCCCGTAGAGTCTCTTGAATGGAGGGAAAAAGTGGGAATTAGGCCCTGGCCTTCCAGGAGAGCCAGACACTGCTGGCTCATTACCTAAGAACGTGCAGGATGCACAGGAAGGCCTCACCTGCACGTGCCAGGGGTCTGGAGGCGAGAGGAAGTGGGTTCGCAGGGCGACTGCTTTCGTGTACTCCCCTGGGTGTATATCCAGAGGAGCTCCTTTGGAGGGGCGCCCAGGGCGAGTTTCTCTGAGCTCCTCTCAGAACGGCCACTGCCCTCACCCAAGGCCCTGTCTTGGTAGGTCGACAGGAACCACCAGTCAGAGCAGGTGAATACGAACTGTGGGGGAAGCCTTCTTTAGAATCTAACACGCTGGAGGCAAGACAAAACAACTTAACCAGTAAGCAAATCTTTCATCAATTTCGATTACAGCAAATACTGGCAAGATGCCAGGAAGTGTCCATCCACCCTGCAGTGGTCTGTGTGTTCTTAATTTCTGCCCTGCCAAACATACTTTCCACTTGATAAACGAGTGGGCAAGATCAGGAAACTTTTATTGGTCATTTAATCCACTCTCACTGAAGTTGTTAAGGAATATTTTCAGGGCCTTAAGTTGTGCATTAAGATGTCTGAGGGGGCCAGAGAGACAGTAGAGTGGGGAAGGCAACTGCCTTGCTAGAAGCACACCAGGGTTCCATCACCCGCACCCCACATCCTCCATCCTCTGGGCTCCTGAGTCCCACCAGGAATGATCCCTGAGCACAGATCCATGAGAAACTGCTGGGCATGACCCCAAAACCAAAATGCCTGGGAAACAGTCCTAAATTAACATCATACCTGGATAGATGAGATTATAAAGCAACTTCATCTACATCTAAACCATAAGCCCTGGGGCCAGAGCAACAGGACAGCAGTCAAGGCGCTTAACTTGTACAACGCCAACCTGGGTTCAATCCTAAAACCCCCAGATGGCTCCCCGAGGCTCCTAGGAGTAGTCCCTGAGTACAGAGCCAGGAGTATCCCTGAGCACTGCTGGGTGTGGCCCAAAAAAGCAAAACAAAGGGAAAAAGAAATCAGAGGCGAGAAAGATGGTTCAACAGGCTGAATCAACCCAAACAAGGAATCAGCCAAGAGCCAACAGCCGAGGATCAAACCTACAACAGACTTTCACAAAACTTGAAAAAATTCAAGTGGGAGTAAGGTGCTGGGTCTTGAGTGCAATCAACCCCTGATCCTCGCCAGAAGTGAGTCCTGAGCACAGCCAGGTATGGACCCAAAACCAAAATAATAGAATGGAATCCCAATTTACTTTAGCACAAGGGTGTTAAGAAGCTTGACAGGTGCTGACAGGTAGTAGTACAGCGGGGAGGGCAATCCCCGCCAGGAGTGGGCTCTGGGTACTGCCAGGTATGGTCCCCCACCAAACCAATCAACAAAACCCCCCCCAAAAAAAACGAAAAAATAATACAAGTGCTAGATTTCTCAAGTCCAAACGCTCACTACGTCAATTTCCTGGATTAGTTCAAAGTTTTCCCTAAAGCAAGGTTCTGAAAGAGTTTAGTATCTAATGATACTATGAATAAAACAACTTAAAACTCTAGTAGGACTCTAGTAGTGGGACAAGCCTAAGCAGCAAAGGGTGCGGAGAGCCAGTGTTTCGTGTGCCATCATGTGGGGAGAAAAGACAAACCTAAGAAAGGTAAGTTCAGCTTCTGGTAGATTCCAAGGGGGTTTGCCAAGCCTGTCATTGGGTGGAATTGGATTCAGGCTGAAAGCCACTTCCCTCCGAATCACTCGCAGGACCACACATGCCACAGGATCTCAACAGCAGGCATGAAAATCACCAAGGGTTATTCGTTTTACATTTTAATTTTCGGGGTTTTGAGACCCCGCCTGGCTATGCTCAGTACTCCTGGCTCGAGGAGCCATACGGGGTACTGGGACAGAACCTGCGTGTGCAAGGCAAGTGGCTGACCTCCAAGGCTGTACCCTGGGCACTGCCTGCACTCCAGGGCCACCTGCTGTACTATGGCTTCACCCCCGCCTCTCCCCAAATCACCAAGGTTTCAAAGGGAAAAACTCCTGACAGTTTGAAATTCACGCTGCGAGGAAAAAGGAAAAAGGGGGAAACGCAAGGCAGCACACCATCAGAAACTGAAACAAAACTGAAGATGCTCCTGACCCAAACCCTCAAGGACAACAAATGGGTTCCCTTCGTGAAAAATTAAAAATCAGAAGGCAGGGGCTGGATAGATGGTACAGCGGGGAGGGCATTTGCCTTGCACACAGCCCACCAGGATTCAATCCCCAGCGTCCCATATGGTCCCCCAGTGCAATGCTAGGACTGATTCCTGAGTGCAGAGCCAAGAGTAAGTGCTGAGCACTGCCGGGTTTTGGGCTCAAAAAACAACAACAAAAACTCTCCCAGGACAGAGACGTGACTAGCAGTCAGCGCTGGCTCTGCAGGAGCCGTGGGTACGGACAAGCAAGCCTGGCCACAGGCAGATGTGGCACCACCATCTGTGAAATTCAGAACCAAGTTCATTGGACACATCTTTTTTTTTTTTTTTTGCTGGGGGGGGGGAAGAAGAGAGGGAAACTCAGCTTTCCAAGTGGGGTTCCAACTTGGGGGTGGGGCTGGGGGCACCACTTTCAATGCCAAGCTAGTCCTGGGGTGCCTGCTGGGGGCAGCTCAAAGACCATGTGCTATGCTTGGTGCTGAAGCAGGCCCCAACTGCCATGCTAGCTACCCTCCTTCTCATCAACTGTCTTCCAGTCCCTTCTCCAAGAGGATGAAGTTATCAAAGTCACCATCACACTGAACTGTCTAGAAATCTAGAGAAGACCGCTAGCCTTTCGTTTCTGTTTTTGGGCCACACCCAGAAATGCTCGGCTTACTCCTGGCTCTGTAACCAGGAATCACTCCTGGCAGAGCTTGGGACCATACGGGGTGCCAGGAATCAAACCCAGTTTGGCCCCGTGCAAAGCAAGCACCCTACTCCTGGGTGCTTGGGGGGACCCTATGGGATGCAGGGTTGGAAGCAGGCTCGGCAGCGTGCCAGGTAAGCACCCCTCTGGCGCGTTCTGCTGGATTCCTAAGGCACCACACACATAAATGCACCACTCAGAAGATCAAGAGTGGGGCACCCCGGCCCCGCGCCGATCCCAGGTGGGCAGAGCCTCCGCTGATCTGTACCCACCCCCAAGGAAAGGGCAGGCTGAGCCGTGAGAGGACAATCACTTGGGCGCCTGACACCTGTCCACCCACTCCGAAGCTCCCAGTTTCCGAGCCGGGTTAAGACAACACGGAAAGGGTTGTGTGGCCGCCCCAGGCGCTCCGTATTCGGAAAAGGAAAAGCAAAGTGACCCAAGACCCCGCGGCACTCCGGGGGCCCAGGGCCCTGCAGTCCGCAGATGGCCACCCCATCGCCTGTCCCCGCCCAGGCCGGCCCAGCGGGGCCTCAATACGCCGTGAGACCCGGGAAGAGTTAACATGGCCCGGACAGGAGTCGAAAGTTTCAGCGGCTTCCGGCCAGTCGCGAGAATGTCACAAAGGAGCTGATCCCCTGAGAGACCCCCGTGCAACCAGGCAGGGCCGGGGTCCCCGTGGGCGCGTCCCCGGGAGCGACCACGCGCCCCTCCTGTCCGCTCTGGGCGAGTTCCCACGGGGCTTCCGGACCTGGGGTGCGCGCAGGGGGCTGCAGCCCCACACCCTCCATCGCTAGTCTCCGTGCACCCGGGACTCCCTGCACCCGTGCGCATCGCTGCAGCGCCCCTGGGGGTGCCCCAGGCTCCCCATGCTCCGCTCAACAGGAGGCTCGGCGTGCTGGTCCTCTCGCCACACGCCGCCGCGCACAGGCGCCAGGCAGTCGCTCCCGGGCACCAAGAGGCAGGAGACCAGCACCTCCGCCCCCGACAGCTCCCCACGGCTCCCCCCACCCGCGCGGCGCCTGCAGCATCCGCCCCGCGGGGCAACCCGGAGGCCGCGTTTCAGTCCGGGCCTGGGCCCGTCCCGGGACCTCTGATGCCCCGTAGGATGCCCGGCCGCGGCCTGGGTGCACTGGTGGAGTGGCGGCAAGCAAGCGTGGCATCGGTGGGCCACGGCCGGGCCTTAAGGTCACAAAAGGCCTCCGGGGCTCGGAACGAGGGGGGGGGGGGGAGCGGCCAGGCGGGAACCGGACGCCCCCAGGTCCTGCACGAGCGGCCGCGGGACAGACCCCCGGGAACTCATCCTGGCCGTGACGGACTCCGCATCGGCCCACCAAGTGTCCGGGACTGTGGTTTTCGGGTCTGGGCAACGGTTTAGGCCTCGAAGGCCGGGCCTAACGTGTGTGCACTGGGCATCCCGGCTCCCGCCTTCCCCGCGCGGCGGCGGGACCCGGCTTCCCGCCCCGCGGCCCGACCGGAGCTTGGTGGCAGTTGGAGGCAGTTGGGACCGGCCCCAGCAGGTTGGAACCGGTCTGGGCCGGGCCGGAGGAGGAAGGGGGGGGAGGGAGAGGCCGCCTCGCGCTCTCCCTGCGCGCGTGACTCACGCTGGCCGCTGACGTCAGGCGTGCGCGCGCGGCGGGGGGGGCTCTACGTACGTGTAGTGCTGCGGTTTCTCGGGCTGTGCCTGCAGCACCTGAGCGGTAGCGGCCGGGGGCGCCGAGGAAGCTGCGGAGCCGCCGGGCCCGGGGCCCTTCGACATGGTCCTGTCTTCCTGCCTCTTCGCCGCTCCCCTTTTATTATTCAGTCTGCGCGGTCCGCGCCGAGGACTCAGTGCGCCTGCGCCGCGCCACGAGAACGTGAAGACCCCCCGCACGGCCGCGGGGGCTGCTGGGAGTTGTGGTCCTGGCGTCCGGCGGGATTTTACCGCCGGCAGAGGGCTGCCGCCAAAGGAGAGGACCACAGTACCCAGGGTTCCGTGCGGCCGGTGTCCCGGATGCGGAGGGCCCGCGGTGTCTTCTGGGGATTGGAGTCCGGTCGCAGTTGTCTAGCAGCGCGTTAGTGGCTGCGTAGGGGACCCTCGCCTTGAAACTGGAGCCCCTAGGATACTGGGGTCTCCGAGGGAGAGGGGCCCCAGTGACTTCTGTGAAACAACTCCTGGTGCAGTTGCCCCTCCAACAGTGTAGTAACGCCCTCGCCTCCATACTCCCAGTACAGCCCTGCCACAGTTCTGATGCCCGCCCCAAGTTCTGACGAATCCGAACCTTCCTGTCTTTGCTCTGGGCCTCTGTGCGGCGGATTCTGGGAGTGCGCAGTCGTCCTCCTGTGTCCAGCAGCGGGAATCAAAGTCAGCCTGCTGGAAGTCAACTCGAGAGAGCTTGGCTAGAAAAAAGATCGCTGCAAAGGCGCCCCCAGAAACCTTTCACGACCCCGAATGAAACCTGCAACTCAACGACTTCTGGTCTCTTCTCCACCTGACACCTGGCCTGGCCCACTTGTTTCCAGTGTGTTAGGGGCCAAGGACGAATTTAATCTCCATCTAGGCTAGTTTCAGGGCCACTGGCGCGGTGCAGGGTGTTGAGAAAGAGCCCGGTGCAGAGGCAGGGCCAGCGCCCTTTCCAGTCCTCTTCAAAGCCTGGAGAGAGGGCAGCGGGGAAGGTGCATCCCTTGCCAGCTAACCCATATGGGCACTGCCAGGAGTGATCCTCGAATGCAGAGCCAGGAAGAGCTCTGAGCATCGTCGGGCGTGGCCCAAAATCAAATCCCAAAAGCGGAGAATCCACTTAAGTCCCGGAGCTGGACTGCAGCCTTTGCATTTGGCACCCAGCTCTTCCCCACCCTCCCTCCCATCAGTGCGCGATGAGAATGGAACGTTGTCCGACAAGCCATTCCTCCCCCAGGCCCCCAGCATTCGATCGGATTTGAATTCTAATATTTTACATTCTTTTTACATACTGCGTCTTGTTTGGTATATGAGTTTTTGGATTTTTCGTTTGTTTGCTTTTTTGGGGGTCACACCCGGCAATGCACAGGGGTTACTCCTGGGTCATGCACTCAGGAATTACTCCCGGCGGTGCTCGAGGGACCATATGGGATGCTGGGAATTGAACCCGGGTCGGCTGAGTGTAAGGCAAATGCCCTACCCGCTGTGCTATTGCTCCAGCCCCTCAGTATATGAGTTTTGAGATAAATTCATGTTTGATTCGATAGGACTCTTCTCTATCGTCAAGGAAAGCCATGCTCAGGAAACTTGGGGATGAGAGGAGGTGGCAAATGGAGCGTTAAAGGGGTTAAGAATGACACGAACCCACGTTCATTCTCACCAATACGACATCAGAGGCCAATTGTCAGCCTGCAAAGTTGAGAAACTGCTATTTCCTAAACCGGCTAAATCAATTGTTTAACCACTAGGGGCGTTTGAAGAACAATCCCGAAAGAGGAAAACAAACCTTGTGGTATGTTGCTTTAATCCCTCTATCAAAGCCAAACCATTGGTTCCCAGTCAGCACTCTAATACCGGAGTGTGGTCCATGCACTAGACCTTCAGTAAGTTCCAACCAGGAACTCCTGAACCAATGTGGCTGGAGACAGTTAGCAGGTGATACCAAGCAAACCACTTCATTTACCAAAGAGGGAACAAATTCAAAGAACTTAAGAAACTTGTACTGTTACCGAGTAACAGGAGCTAGGACAGTAGCCTCCAAACTGCATCACTTTCTACGTTTTTAAAAATATATGTTTGCCGGGCAGGAGCGATAGCACAGCGGATAGGGTGTTTGCCTTGCACACTGCCGACCCGGGTTCGATTCCCAGCATCCCATATGGTCCCCTGAGCACTACCAGGAGTAATTCCTGAGTGTAGAACCAGGAGTAACCCCTGTGCATTGCTGGGTGTGACCCAAAAAAGAAATATATATATATATGTTTGGGGAAAAAATAAATATTTTCTATATATATTTATGGGCTGGAGTGATAGCACAGTGGTAGGGCATTTGCCTTGCATGCAGCCAACATGGCCGACCGAGTTCAATTCCTCCGCCCCTCTCGGAGAGCCCGGCAAGCTACCGAGAATATCTCGCCTGCACAGCAGAGCCTGGCAAGCTACTCATGATGTATTTGATATGCCAAACACAGTAACAACAAAGTCTCCAATGGAGATGTTACTGGGCCCACTCGAACAAATCTATGAACAATGGGAGGACAGTGACGGACCTGGGTTCGGTCTCCGGCATCCTATATGGTCCCCAATGCACTGCCAGGAGTAATTTATGAGTCCAGAACCGGGAGCAACCCCTGAGCATCACTGGGTGTGACCCAAAAAGCAAAAAATAAAAATAAAAAATATATGTTTGGATTTTTTGGTTGGGTCTCACCTGGTGATGCTCAGGTCTTATTCCTGGCAGGGTTCAGGGGACCATATGGGGTGCTGGGGATTGAACCCTATGCTGGCCACATGCAAAGCAAGCACCCTATCTGCTGTACTAACTCCAGCCCTCCATGTCCTGTTTTTTTTTTTCTTTTTGTGTCACACCCGGTGATGCACAGGGGTTACTCCTGGCTCTGCACTCAGGAATTACTCCTGGCAGTGCTTAGAGTTCATATGGGACACTGAGAATCGAACCCGGGTCAGCTGCATAAAAGGCAAACACCATATCCGCTGTGCTATCGCTCCAGATCCTGTTCTACATTTTTAAAAAGACACTTTCAAGGGCCAGAGAGGCAGTACAGTGGGTAGGGCACTTGCCTGGCACACAGCCCATAGAGTTTGATCCCAGGCATCTCACAGAGTCCCCCAGCCCTGCCAGGTTGGTCCCTATCCTGGTCCCTTGAGCACAGAACCAGGAGTAAGCCCTGAGTGCTTCAGGGTGTGGTCCCAATACCAAAATCAATAAGCAATTTTTGAAAATTAAACTTTTTTTTTAGCGGGAGTTGGGCCACACTTGGCGATGCTCAGGGATCCTAGCTCAACACACAGGAATCACTCCTGGCAGTGCTCAAGGGACCACATGGGGTGCCGGAGATCAAACACAGGATGAAAGAGTGCAAGGTACGAGAGTACGAGGTGAGCCTTACTCACTGTACTCTCTCTCTCCAGAACCCCCCAGAAATATTTTTTTTTCAGTTTCACAACACCCACCCATTTTTCCTCCTCTGCACCAAATTAGGTATGATTGACAAAGGGGGCTGGACTATTTCCACTGATCATATAAAGGCCAATCCATACGTAGTAATTTCTGCTGGAATGGTTTTAGTGTCTCTCCAATAATTAGCAACATGGAAAGAGAGAAAAAGCACTCTCATATCTTGGGCCACGGGACACGCCAGGATTGGGTCTCCCAGCAAAGCTTTGAAATCCAATGGCAGAATCACCGAGAAACTCATCCCTTCTCCAGTCATTCTAAGCAGTCATACCTGAGGACAGGATTTTCCTGGTTACTTCCTACAACATCCTGCTAGGCAGAACTTTGTTTGAACCCTCTTTCTTGTTTTATACAGGTTTTTGAAACAAAATAGAAGCCTCCAATATAGTTTTTCTTCTGAGCATGGTATGAATAAAATAAAAGCTCTGTCTCCTTTTGCCCTGAATTTTGTTCAGAGGGCCTAAATTGAAACTGGTTAAGTTGGCTCCGAAGAGCTAGCTTGGAGGGCTGAACACATGCTTTGCTTGCAAGAGGTCTAGGTACAATCCCTGATACCAAATGGTCCCTCAGGGGGCTGGAGAGATAGCACAGCGGGTAGGGCGTTTGCCTTGCTCGCAGCTGACCCGGGTTCGATTCCCAGCATCCCATATGGTCCCCTGAGCACTGCCAGGAGTAACTCCTGAGTGCAGAGCCAGGAGTAACCCCTGTGCATCGCCAGGTGTGACCCAAAAAGCAATAAAAAACCAAAAAAAAAATCAAACAAAAAAAACAAATAGTTTCTCAGTACCACTGGGACTAGCCCCATGTGATCCCAAACTAAAAACCAAAATTGATGATGTTTTCAGAGAAGTATCTTCATAGATGTTTCCAAACTTCTTTGGTCTACTACCCTCTTTTCAGAAAGAAAGAAAGAAAGAAAGAAAGAAAGAAAGAAAGAAAGAAAGAAAGAAAGAAGAGAGAAACGAGCAATCACTCAGCACTCTTCTGGATATTGCCTTTCTCTACTTTTTTTTCTTTTGGGGGGACAACACCTGGCGTTGCTCAGGAGTTACACTTGGCTCTGTATTCAGTAATTACTCTTGGCAGAGCTCAGGGGACCATATAGGATGTTGGGGATCGAACCCGGGTCAGTTATGTGCAAGGCAAATGCCCTACTCACTATACTATCTTTCTGGCTCTTGGAAATGTGCTTTAAGTGAACAAAAAGACAGTGTTCTCCAGTACCTTCGTAGGTCATTATCACTCTTCTAGATTGTTTCAGTACACGGAACTTTGGATGGTTGATCATAAATATGTAGTGTGTATTTATAACTTTGAAAGTGGGGGGGGCAGAGAGATAGTACAGAGAGTGGCTAAGTTACTTGCTTTGCATGCCGCCAACCAATCTTTGATCCCCAACATCTTCTGTGATCTCCAAGTATTGCTAGTAATAATTCCTGAGTAGTAAGTTACCCCTGAGCATCACTAGATATAGTCCAAAAATCTTAAAAAAAAAAGTGCAAATAATGGAAGGGATTCAGAACTTAAAACTGGGCCCAATGGGGCTAGAGCAATAGCACAGCGGGTAGGGTGTTTTCCTTACACGCGGCTAACCCGGGTTTGATTCCCAGCATCCCATATGGTCGCCTTTGAGCATAGCCAGGAGTAATTCCTGAGTGAATGAGCCAGAAGTAATCCATGTGCATTGCCGGGTGTGACCCAAAAAGAGAAAAAAAATAGATCCAAGCTTTTATTTCATTTTTAATCTAGTTTTAAAATTTTTTTTGCAGAACTTAATTCTGGCTCTGCACTCAGGGATAATTCCTGGTAGGACTTGAGAGGCCATATGGTTTGCCCAGGAGGAATGAGCCCAGGTTGGCCTTATGCAAGGCAAGTGTCCTCCCCACTGTACTATCACTTCAGCCCCCTAAGACTTTTTCTATTTTTTTAAATGAAAGTTGCTTTTTCAAATTGTGAAATTAAAAAAAAAAAAAAGAATCACTGTTGATGCCAAAAACGGGCATTTTGGTATAGCAAGCAGTTTTTGAAAATATTCATAGGTATCATATTATTCAGAGCAAAACATTAGAAATGGATTCATTGCTTTTTATTTGAATAATATGAAATGTTCATTGAGAATAAATTCAACGGGCTTTGCATGAAGGAGGCCCAAGTGCAATCTCGAGCACTGCATAGTTCACCTCTGCCAGCACCCAGTAAAGAGGCATAAAATAAATAAAGAAGATCTTAAGTGATAGGACAGTGGGTAGGGTGTTTTTCTAGCACACAGCTGACCTAGGTTCTATCCCCAGGATCCCAAAGGGTCCCCTAAACCCACCCAGAGTGAGCCCTGGCCACTACGGGGTGAGGCCCCAAAACTAATAATAATGATAATTAAATAAAAAGAAAATAAAATACTCAGTGAACCCAGAGTAAGAATTGCAGAATAGAATGCCCAGGGTGCTATGTCAATTACCTGAGCTTTGTTTGACTGTCCTTAACGTTAAGCCTACTTTGCTGTTTATAAACCTGAGTCAGCTGGAGAACTGAAGATTGCAATATGCCAAGACATTTACTTAGGCAAGGGTAGAAATTACCATTTTTACACAGTTGTTATGTTTTTTTTCAGAAGCTTTACCTGCCAGAACAAATCATTACGTGGGCTGGAGCCATAGTACAGCAGGTAAGGTGCTTGCCAATCTGAGTTCGATCCCCAGCATCCCATAAGGCTCTCTGACCTCGACCAGGAGTGATCCCTAAGCACAGAGCAGGAGTAAGCACCTCTGGGTGTGGCCCCCAAATAAAAATAAATCTATATAGATATATAGATATATAGTTATAGATATGCATGTATATGTATATTTCCTTTCCTGGGTGTAGTTAATTTGGTTGAATTACAGAATTTAAAATTTTGTTGGTCGGTAGATTACATCTTACGTAACTGGAACATAATGAAATTACAAAACTGTTTTGTAAGGGCCTTGGAATATACAAACAACCCTAATAAAATTGTTTATTGACCTCTGTCTGATTTGTCTCTATCACTTTTTCCTCCTAACCCTATCCAATAAAAGAATTGCTTTTTGGTTAAAACTTGTTTTTCTGGTTTGTGAAATACTTGCTAATGTAAAAAGATTTAGTGAATTCCAATTCTCATTTTCACACACTTAAAATTTTAATGAAAGGTAAATAATAGCTAGGAACACATTTATTTGAAAGGATTATAAAATTTTCACTAAAGTAACTTCTCATTCTAGCTTTGAGGCAACTTGCATTAGGCGTCTGTCCTTACATAGTCTTAAATCCTAATAGGGACCAAAGTAATTCATTTACATTGACTTTCCATTGTAGAGCTTTGGAACCAAGGGAAGGATCCAAACATAGTTCTATTTTATCCAATCAGAAGAGGCGCTTAGTGCTAAACTCTGATTCGTCCATTCCTCTTTGCATTTATCCAATCAGCAGGCTATTTTAAGAGCCAATCAGCGGCCTAGATGTCCACCAATCAGAGAACGGTGCCGAAGCACGGCCTTTGTGTCGGGGATGTCAGCGCGTCGGCGAAAGCGCCCGCCAATAAAAAAAGTCGTTGGTGTATGCAAATGAGGGCCCTGTGACGCAGAGACGCAGCGTGAAGCGTGGGTATAAAAGCGGAGGCATCGGGGGGGTTTGGAGCGCAGAGCGGTTGGGTCGTTGGTCGGGGAGTCGTGTGCCCCTCGTCCGGGAACTGCGGCTCTCCCTGGGGCAGCGGTAGCGGCGCGGCTGTCGGAGAAGCGGCCGGAGACCTCGGCTTTTGGTAAGTCGCCCCCGCTGGCTCGGGCCCTGGGGGCGCCGTTGGGCCCGGAGGCCGCGGCCGTTGCGAGTTCCCCGGCGGGCCCGAGCGGGCCGCCGGCGCCGGGAGGTTTCCCCGAGGGGGCGGTGGGGGGGGAGCGCGGCCCGAGCGTGGCCCGGCCTCTGGCCGGCGCCGATGCGGGGCTCCAGCCGCCGGGCTCCGGGCGTCCGGCCGCCCGGGACGGAGGTGACTCCTCCCCGCGGGCCCCCCCTCCCGGGGCAGGCCCTGCCACCCGCCGCCTGAGTCATTAGGGGAGGGGGAGGAGGCGGCGGCGGCAGCCCTCGGCCATCTGCCGCGGCGGGAGGGGGCCGCGAGTCACGGTTGTCGCCCTAGGTGAGCGATGGCCCGAACCAAGCAGACGGCGCGGAAGTCGACGGGGGGGAAGGCGCCCCGCAAACAGCTGGCCACCAAGGCGGCGCGGAAAAGCGCCCCCTCTACCGGCGGGGTGAAGAAGCCCCATCGCTACAGGTAGGCGGGCGGCGGGCGCGGCCGGGGCGCGGGCGGCGGCGACCGCGGCCGCTCACCCCGCGTCCCCTCAACGCCGCGTCCCCCGCAGGCCCGGCACCGTGGCGCTGCGCGAGATCCGCCGCTACCAGAAGTCCACCGAGCTGTTGATCCGCAAGCTGCCGTTCCAGCGGCTGGTGCGGGAGATCGCGCAGGACTTCAAGACCGACCTGAGGTTCCAGAGCGCCGCCATCGGGGCGCTTCAGGTAGGGCCCCCGCCCCCACCCCCGCCCGGGCCGGCGCGCGCGCGCGCGGCCGCCGCCGCCGCCGCCGCGGCTCGGCTCACGGCGCCCTCCCGTCTCGCCCGCGCAGGAGGCGAGCGAAGCGTACCTGGTGGGGCTGTTCGAGGACACCAACCTGTGCGCCATCCACGCCAAGCGCGTCACCATCATGCCCAAGGACATCCAGCTGGCCCGCCGGATACGGGGGGAGAGGGCTTAGAGCGAGGGCGGTTTTTACGGTGTTTTGTAGTAAATCCTGTAAAATACTTTGGTTTAATTTGTGACTTTTTTTGTAAGAAATTGTTTATAATATGTTGCATTTGTACTTAAGTCATTCCATCTTTCACTCAGGATGAATGCGAAAAGTGACTGTTCACAGGCCTCGGTGATGTGAGCGCTGTTGCTCAGGAGTGACAAGTTGCTAATATGCAGAAGGGATGGGATGGGTGATACTTCTTGCTTCTCATGATGCATGTTTCTGTATGTTAATGACTTGTTGGGTAGCTATTAAGGTACTAGAGTTGATAAATGTGTACAGGGTCCTTTTGCAATAAAACTGGTTATGACTTGATCCAAGTGTTTAACAATTGGGGCTGTTAAGTCTGACCATACATCACTGTGATAGAATGTGGGCTTTTCAAGGGTGAGGATACAAGTCTTAACCACAGTGTAACTTACAGTTTCCTAAAAAAGAAAAAGAAAAAAAAAAGTAAACCTGGCAGCTATAGAATACACTATGTGCATTTATAATAGCTATTTTATATATTGTAGTGTCAACATTTTTAAATTAAATGTTTTACATTCACATATGGTGGGGAGTCTTGTCATTAAGGTGTGTGTAATTTAGAGTCCAGTTGGTTTCCTTTTGAACTAGACTGCACTCGTTTTCATAGTAGTATAAACCGCTTTTGCGCATTCTATACCTTGCATAAGTCCTCATTCTACCACATGTTAACTAACCCTCTAGCTGATAACGCAAACACTAATGGGGGGGTCTTATTTATAAGGGCTCTAGAATACAATAACAAGTTAATTCACACCAGCATCATCTGTTACTAATATTCTAAACTTAGTATAGTGCGGCTTTTCTTTGTGTTGTGGTTAGTCTCAACTAAGCTGAGTTCTCGAGGAAACAATACTGAAGCTCTTTATCGTGGCATCTGTGAGCAGAGGGAGGGGCACAGGGCTGCAGAGGACAGAAACCTCTCCCAGTTTTCAGAGGGTAGTGGGTTAGGGTGCATCTGGCGTACAGTCCCGGAAAATGCACCTGACAATGGCCTTTTGGGCGGTGGGAAACCTTATCCTTTGAAAGTCTTTAGGTTAATTATGTATGTTGGCTGAATTTATGAATAAAACTTGTTTCTTCAACTGAGTGTCAGAAACTTAAGTTGAATGTACAAAGTTTTGATAAACTTCATCATCCGGGTTCTTTGTGCCCTAAAGTTTAGCTTATTTCAGGTTTTTCTTTGTAGACCAAGGAATTTTAAATATATATATAAAAGCATGTACCTGGCCCTCAGCCTAAATGCTTGCAATTGCCGAACCTGCAGCATGAGCTTCAGGCAGTTTCTGAGCAGCCTGGAGCTGTCCAGCATATAAATAAATACTTGTATTAAGGTTATATATACATAGACCCAGGGAAGGAAAATTTGATAGTGATCTCTGTCACGGAATGCTGTGTTGGTCCTGAACCACACCACCTTGGTAGGAAAAACCTGACTGCTGTATGTCAGGTGTGGGCAGTCATCAGAGGAGCATGCTGTAGATTTAAACCTAATAGTTTAGGAAGAATTTTTTTTCTGTATTAAAGGCATAAGTCGCTTGAGACATAACCTTTTTAAAATAAGCTAGGTTGGGGGGGGGAGGATCTTGGTGAGGTGTCCACAGGTAAGATTTCTGTAGAGTCAGCTCGTTATCAAGAAAGCCAGAAGGGCCACCATAACGTGGTTTGGAACAAGAATTTGCCAAAGATGACTCACTTGGGGTTTCTGAAGAGACAGGGTTGTCTGGTGGTGTTTGAAGGGCTGTTAGGAGCTGTGTGATCTGGAGAATAGCACCTGGGCCCCTCCAAACTGCTTCCTGAAGTGACAGGTCCTTGCTTGGTTGGGCAGCTTGGAAACTGGTGGGTGAGTGCTTGCCCAGAGGCAGTAGTTGGTCCTGGGGAGCTACCCCTGGGGTATCATTGCTAGGTAACAGGATGGTCTGTTAGAGGAAGAAAAAGTGGGAGCTGATGAAGGTATCCTGTGCTCTTGATGGATGAGACAAAAATAAAAGGTTTTGTTTGACGTTGAGACTTTCTCATCTTGTTAATGGTTTTCATTTGATCAGAGGATACTAGGGACGTGTCCAGAAAGGGAGTTCCCTAGATAATGTTCTGGGGGGAGGGGGCGGGTAAGAGGGGGCTTCACAAGCTCTGCTTGGGCTGTGGCTGGCAGTACTTGTTGCTTGGGGTCACTAGGGTGATCACACAGCTGAGCTCTCCAGCCCTTTGAGCCTTTCCCTGGCCTTTGTGTTTTTGTTATTTGGGGCCACGTGACAGTGCTTGGGATCTGGGACCATGTGGTGCCAGCATCAAACCTAGGCCGCCGGTGTGTGCTCCACCCTTGAGCCAGTTGTCTGGTTGACCTTGCACTTCTTTTTTGGTAGCCTGGGAGCTGGAGTTGGGGGGAGGAAGTTGTGCTCAGGGATTAAACCAGAGGCCTACCACAGGCAAGGCAAGTGCCTTAACTCCTGTATTGTTTGCCCCACCCCAGCCCTTTGTTTTCTGGCCACACCTGGTAGCCCTCTGGACCCTGTGGTTTGCCTGGGGGTCCAACCTCAGTGGGACGTGTGCAGGGTAAGTACCTACCCGCCACGGTATCTCACCAGTCCCAGCCGACCTCCAGTTCTTGCTTTTGTTTTTTGGGGGTTATACTTGGTGATGCTTGGGGGTTACTCTGACTACTCAGAAATAATTCCTGGAGGTGCTCAGATTGGCTGTACTATGGCATGGGCCCTCCCTCCCCCACTCCTCAGTGGGGTCTTGTGCCCAGGCCCATGTGTGCTGTCAATAGACTCCTCAGTTGTCCCACATTGGCCACAGTGTCCCAGCAAGAGCTAGCAGTCTCTGGGCTTGGAGCCTCCAGCTGTGCCCTTGGAAGGGAGCTCAAGGACCAGGAGTTGAAATTGTTGACCAGAAGCAGGGTCCCAGCCCAGACCCTCTCCACAATGTCACATCTCCCTTCTGTAAACTTCATGTAGTCTGCATCTGTCAAACCCATGCCTTGTCATAGGACACACGCATGAACCAGATAAAGTCAGTTGAGGACTAAGCCAATCCCTCAGTTTTACTTTTTATTTTGGGGAGGGTGAACCCCTAGCGCTGCTCAGGACTTAACTCCTGCTCTTCACTCATGGATCATGCCTAGAGGTGCTTAGGAGAACATACAGGATGCCAGGGAATGCAAAGCAAGTGCCTAATGGGCCTATGCCATCTCTCTGGTCTCCCGCTTCACAATTTGTTTTGGGGCCACACCTGTCAGCACTCAGGAATCACATCCCTGGCAGTGCTTGGACCCCATGGGGTGCCAGGGATTGATTGCAAGGCAGATGCCTTTTCCACTGCACTATCTTTCTGACCCCTTCAACTTCACTTTTTTTTTTTTTTTTTTTTTGGCTTTTTGGGTCACCTGGCATTGCTCAGGGGTTAGTCCTGGTTCTCAGGAATGACTTGACTCTTGGCGGTGGTGCTGAGATCCCTATGGGATGCCGGGAATTGAACCCTGGTCAGCAAGGCAAACACCCTCCCTGCTGTGCTATTGCTCCGGCCCCAGCTTCACAATTTTTTAGGTGGTAAGAGATAATTAGGGCCAAGTCTTACACAAAAAATATTTGCTGCAGGGGCCGGAGCAATAGTACAGTGGGTAGGGTGTTTGCCTTGCACACGGACCGACCCAGGTTCAATCCCCGGCATCACCCCAAGCACTACCAGAAGTAATTCCTCAGTGCAGAGCCAGGAGCAACCCCTGAGCATCGCTGGGTGTCACCCAGAAAGCAAAAAATAATTAAACATTTGCTTGGTCTGACTGGCACACGCCATCTTGCCAGAGCCTTCCCACCCCACAGCCGCACCCCCAGCTGCTGCTTGACTTGCTGTAGGGAAACGGGTACTGAGCTGACCAGCTGGATTGGAATTCACACATGGACAATTGTTTTCCAGTCATTCCTCTGTGACACTGGGACACACTGCTCTCTGGGGCTCCCCCGTTGGGCGCCCCACAAATTGCACATGCTGGCAGTGGCTTTGCCCAGGAACTGCAGGGCAGCTGGCGCTCCTGGTTGCGGAGGGTGCCACGGGCTGCCACAGTTTGCAGCAGACTCCAGAGGAAACTTCCAGCTGCCCCGCAGGGCCAGAGATGAGTGGTAGGTAGGACTTGTCTTGCACACAGCCAACCCAGGTCTGAGCTCTAGAACCCCAGATGGTCTACTGAGTCCCACCAAGTATAACCCCTGAGCATGGAGCCAGGAGTAAGCCCTGAGTACCACCAGGTAGGGCCCCTAAGTCACCCAAAAACAACAAACCCAGGGCTCGAGAGGCTAGAAAGGAAGGAGCTTGCCTTTCCTGCGGCTGACTTGCTTTGATCCCTAGAACCCCATATGGTTCCCCAAACCCCAGCAGGAGCAATCCCTGAGTGAGGAGCCAGGAGTCAGCCCTGAGTTCCACTGGGTGGCTCAAGAACCAAAAGAAAAACTCGGACTTCCCTAAGGATCTCAGCAGGATGGGCCAGCCTAAGTTAGTTAGGCCCACAACCAGCAGGGGTCAGGGCCTCCAGCCCACCTAGCCTCCACTAGGAAGATGGGTTGGACAGTTTCCACCCTGCATCCCTAGCTCCACATGCTCGGGTCTGGACTGTTCACTGCCCACAGCTCACCTGGTCTCACCAAGACCAAGTCTGAGCTACACTGCCTGCACCCCCCAGCCCCAACGGCCTCACCTTTTCCCTCCCACCCTCGGGGAAGTCAACCTGAACCACTCCAGACAGCAAGTTCCAACTTCGAAGGCAGAGGAACGGAGAGCCAGGCCCCTGCCCCCTGCGCCCAAGGAAGCCTACAGGGGCCAGGAGATGGGTTCCTAATGCCTGTGTCAGCAGGTCTGGGGTCGAGGTAAGGTGAGATACTGGGGGCCCTGTGAGGAGGGCTGGCAGCCTCTCTTTCCCCTCTGACCAGGCGGCCTGTGTCCTGTGGTCCCATGAATGCCCTTCACCATTCCCCAGTCCTGTGTCATAATGAGAATCCCCCCATCCCGGCACACACTTAACTCCCCTGCTCTTCACCTGGGACAAACACGGGCAATGTGGGCACCCCAGCATCCATCCTGGACAGGACGAGGCATTGGTGGAGCCAAGCGGGGCTGCATCTTGGGGGTCTAGATTTGTCCATCCACCCCTGCCCGTGACAAGGGTGGTGGCCAATCTAGAGGACTGGGACCTGGCAGCAATGTGGGCCACGCAATACACTGCAGCTGATACTTCTCAGCAAGGACCTCTGAGGCCAGGGTGGGACAGTTGTCACCTGGGGCTCTGGCGCGGGGCCAGAATGACCCTGGCCATTACCATCATCATCACCTTCCCTCTAAAACAATGGAGAAGGACAAGACCCCACATGGCCTGGCCCCCTGGCACGGGGCCGGAGTAACCCCTGAGTACTGTTGGTTATGACAACCCTTCGCCTTCCCCACAAAAAACTAGAGCCCCCAAGAGATAGCTCCCTGGAATGAGCATTGGAGACTGCAGTCAAGAAACCGGAAGCTATGCAACAAACTCCGAGCCCCCCCCCAGCACGGGAGTAACTCCAGAGTACTGCTGCAAGTGCGCCTCACCCCACTCCTCAAAATCAGTTCTGGCTCTATAGGTTTGAAAGATTTAACAACTGAGCTGTGGAAAGCCAGGTAGAGCCCTTGTTTTGCATGACATGAGGGAGGTCCTGGGTTCAATTCCTGTCATTGCTAACAACAACAACAAAAAAGGGCAAGAAGAGAGTGCAGTGGACAGGTACTTGTATGTGGCCAGCTGAGGTTCGATTCCTAGTACCCCATATAATCCTCCAGGCCACTGAGAGTGATTCCCGAGTGTAGAGCCAGAAGTAAGCTCTGAGCACTGCCAGGTATGGCCAAATACAAACTAACAGAAAGTGATCAAAAACCAGATGTCTAAGTAAGAGCCGTCCTGTGCCAGCTGGCTCGGGCGGGAGCCACGGATGAATCCCAGCCGCTGCCTGGCATGAACGGAGGGCCGGGAAGGAAAGTCTCAGAGAATAGATGGGGCCAGACTCCAGCCAAAGCTTATCTGCAGGTCTGGCCAAGACCCAGTGGAGACATGGGCAGAGCAGATGGCCCTCGGGTGCCTCGCCCAGAGGCTGAGCTTTCATCGAAATTGCCAGAACCCAGCAGGAACCATGCTACTCCCCAAGGATCTGATGGCCCTATAGGGCTCAGAATTCCGTCAGGGCATTTCAGTGCTGTTCGAGGGTCTTGCCACACTGAGGCAAGGAAAGTTTTCAACTAGAAGAGAAGACAGACCTGGGGACTTATAGGCAGTGTTTCCTGTAAAATGCCACCTCCCCCCACCCCAATTCTGCGCCTTCTGAGCCACAGGCCCAGAGGAACCTTCATGGACAGGACAGCTGCCTCCAGGCACGTTTCACCTCCAGGCTGGATGGATTCGCCAGTGGAGAGGAAACAGATCTCCGTGATGAAATCCTTGTTTCCAAGTCCCTGTGGAACCGTCAGCAACACTTTCCCTTACATCAGATCCAGAAAAGAGACAACACAAAGGGTGAAGATGGTAGGGCCAAGTCATAGCAGGCCTAGAGGGTGTGTTTGCCTTGCACGCGGCTGACCTAGGTTTGACCCCTGGCATCCCATATGATACCCCAAGCACCACCAGGAGTAATTCTTTTTTTTTGCTTTTTTTTGGGGGGGTCACACCCGGCGATGCACAGGGATTACTTCTGGCTCTGCACTCAGGAATCACTCCTGGCAGTGTCAGGGAACCATATGGGATGCTGGGAATCGAACCTGGGTTGTCCACATGCAAGGCAAACACCCTACCTACCCGCTGTGCTGTCGCTCCAGCCCAGGAGTAATTCTTGAGTGCAGAATCAGGAGTAATACCTGAGCATTGCCAGATGACTCCCCCCATAAAAGACCCCCCCCCCGAAAAAAACCCAAAAAACAAAACAACACATGCTTGGTTGAGCACTCCAGGGAGAGTCCTGTTTTAAGGATGAGAAACTAAGGCTTAGGTCGGCCTGCTATCACACCCTTCCCAAAGAAAGAGCAGAGATTTGGGCTGTGAACATCAAAACTGGTGGGGGGGCTAAAGCACACATAGAAGGGGTGTCTTTGCTCAGTCCCACCAGCATGGCATGAGAGACATGACTTACGAGTTTCATTAGATCTCTAGCCATCCAGAGAAATTTTATTTATTTATTTTTTGCTTTTTGGGTCAGACCTGGCGATGCACAGGGGTTACTCCTGGCGGTTTTCAGGGGACCACATGGGATGCTGGGAATCAAACCCGGGTTGGCCCCATGCAAGGCAAACACCCTACCTGCTTGCTATCTCTCCAGCCCCTATTTATTTTTTATTAGTGAAACACCATGAGGTACAGTTGTAAACAAATTTTTGTGCTTGGATTTCAATTATACAATGATCAAATAGCCATCCCTCCACCAGTGCCCATTTTCCACCACCATGGGTCCCAGTATCCCTCCCACCCTCCAGGCCCCCCGCCCCACCCTGCCTCTGTGACAGGGCATTCCCTTTTGCTCTCAGAGAAATTATTTTTGATTTGGGCGACACACCCTGCCATGCTCAGGGCTTATTCCTGGCTCTGCACTCAGGATAATTTTTATCTGGTGGTGCTCAGGGGATCATATGAGATACCCAAGATTGAACCCAGGTTAGCTGTGTCAAGACAAAGACAAGTGTCTTACTCACTGTACAATCTTTTTTTTTGTTGGGGGGCCACACCAGTGATGCTCAGGGATTACTCCTGTCCCTGCAATCAGGAATTACTCCTGTCAGTGCTTGGGGGACCATATGGGGTACCAGGGATCAAACCTGACACATGCAAGAGAAACACCCTATTCGCTCTGTACTATTGATCAGGCTCCCAGATATATTTATATATGTATCTATATAATTTTATGTATGGGGGAGAGAGATAAGGAGGCAGCCACACATAGCTAGTGCCGAGTCTATTACTAGCTTGGGGAATCACACAGTGCTAGAGATCAAACCTGGGCCTCCTGCATGCAAAGCATGTTCTCAGCACAATGAGCTATCTACTCTGCCTCTTCATATATTTACTCTCATTCTATTTTTTTTTTTTTTGCAGGGCCAGGGCGGGGAGGGGGCCGCCATTTTCCTTGGGTACACCTGGATGTGCTCAGGGATCACTGCTGGTGGTGCTGGGGGATCATATGCGGTCCTGGGGATTGAATTTGGGTCGACTGCGTGCAAGGTCCAAATGTCTTTGTCTTAATGCTCGGGGTGTGGGACATTATGATAGAGGTTCGGAGATGGGGTGAGCCGGTGACCTCTCCCAGTGAAGATGTGGGCACTTAGAATGGCAGCTCAGATCTTTCAATCAGGCCTATATTAGCGTGACGTCTCTCCAAGGTCTGCAGCTGGCAAGGACTGGGGGTAAGTACGGGTCGCCCGGCTTCACAGGTAGACAGCGGCAGGGGCGGGGTCTTCTGGGGCGGGGTACAGCAGAGCGTGTAAGGGCCGCCGGGGGCGTTGTGTGTAAGCGGAGGCGGGGCCGGAACGTCAGGGGCGAGGCCTGTACAGCAGAGGCGAATCCGGGCCGCTGGGGGCGGGGTCTGCTTGGCGGAGGCGGGGCCTGTGATGCGGGGGCGGGGCCTTGCAGCGGGGGCGGGGCCAGGGCGGCGCGTGCAGGAATGCGGCCCCGCCCCGAACATCCCGCGCCGCCGGGAATCCGGACCCAGCTGCAGGCTGAGCGTCATGGCCGCTTCGACGTCGCCCCAGCTCGGGGAGCTGCTGGCCCAGGCCCGGAGAGCGTTTCTGGAGGAGTTCGGAGCCGAGCCCGAGCTGGCCGTGTCGGCGCCCGGCCGCGTCAATCTCATCGGGGAACACACGGACTACAACCAGGGCCTGGTGCTGCCCATGGTGAGCGGAGCCTCCCAGGAGACCGGCCCGGGGGCGCGGGGGGCCGCCAGCGTGGACTGTTGGCGGCCGCGTGGAACTTTAGCCCCCGCCGAGGTCGGGCAACGAGCACGTGGGCGCGACCCTGGCACAGGCCTTTCCCCACAAATTGGAGGGAGGAAGTGAACTGGGAGGGGGTGTGCCCACGCCTCGTAGCGCCCACCCTCCCTCTCGGGGCTTCGGGGCTTCTCCAGCCAGGGAGCCCCCTCACCCGGAGGGGCCCCTAAGTAGCCTGCGGATTGAGGCGTACCGGCCGCAGCCCCCAACCCCTCCGGGCAAACTAACTCCAGCCTTCTGCCTCTGCCTGGGGCGCCAGAGAGGGCGAGAGACTTGCTTAAGGTCACACAGCAGTTTCTTTTTGAGACTTGGAGTAGAGGCAGGTCTTCCTGCCCACAGCGTGGGGGGTCGGGGCCTGCCACCCAGCCGTGTGTTTGACCAGGAGGCTGGCTACCGCTCCCTAAACCATCTCCAAGTGCGAAAGGCTCTGGGGGAAAGCTTTCTGACCCTGCTATTCTTGGGAGCTCTTTCTGCCCCCTGCCCCAAGCTAGGGGCAAAGTCCAGACCAGATCTGCCATTTGGCGGCACTGGCCTTGACCCTGAAGACCCAGGGGGCAGGGCCCCAGTCCCAGAGGCCCCGACACACCCATCTCCTTTGTGCTCAGGCCTGAGGCCCCCTACCCCCTCCCGGATCTCGCTTTTGCATAGGGCTTTCTCTCCCACCAGGCCCTGGAGCTGGTGACAGTGCTGGTGGGCAGCCCCCGCTCGGACGGCCTGGTCTCCCTGCTCACCACCTCTGAGGACGCAGACCAGCCCCGCAGGCTGCAGTTCCCTCTGCCCACCAGCCAGCGGTCCCTGGAGCCTGGGACTCCCCGCTGGGCCAACTATGTCAAGGGCGTGATTCAGCACTACCCAGGTATGGGGTCCTGGGACCCCACAGCCACAGAGCCCGCTCGCTCCTCCAGTCTGCTACGAGGGCAGGTGGGGTGGGGGGCCGGTGGTTGAAGTCTCCCCATTCTACACACGAGCAAACTGAGGTTCCAGACCATGCCATGATGGATGGCCAGGATTAGGGGAGATAAGAGTCACTCCCCAGCCACTCCCAGTCACTCCCCAGTCTGGACTTCCAGACCACACTCAGAACTAGGCAGGCTGTCTCAGGAAGAGGGAGACAGGGGCCCCTGGGCCCCAAGGTTGGTGACCTCTGACCATGGGGACATTGCTTGGGGCCGGAGAGGTAGTACAGAGGGCAGGCGCTTGTCTGCACATGTAGACCCAGGTTCAGTCCCAGGACCCCTCAGAGCACCTCTAGCGAAATATCTGAGCAGTGCGGGGGGTCGGTATCCCCACACCAACAGAACAAAATCCCAGACATAGCCTGGACACAGTGGCCACCTTCCAAAGCCGTCAGCTGCCCTTCCTGGCCTGAGTGCGCCCTTTGCCCCTCCTCCAGCAGCCCATTGTCCATGCCCCTCACCCCTCTCTCCTGCAGCAGCCCCCCTTCCTGGCTTCAGCGCAGTGGTGAGCAGCTCAGTGCCTCTGGGGGGCGGGCTGTCCAGCTCGGCATCCCTGGAAGTGGCCACCTACACCTTCTTGCAGCAGCTGTGCCCAGGTACTGCCTGGCCCCTGGCCCCACCCTCTTGCCTGGGGCCTCCTTGTGATCTGGGAGTCCTGTCCCTTGGTGGGGGGGAGGGGGATCTCTTGGCTCCCTTGGCAGGGTGCCCCCTCCCGGGCCAGTGTCTCCACCTCACCCTGTGCCACAGACTCCGGATCCATAACTGCGCGCGCACAGGTGTGCCAGCGGGCCGAGCACACCTTCGCGGGGGTGCCGTGCGGCATCATGGACCAGCTGATCGCGCTGCTGGGGCAGAAGGGCCACGCGCTGCTCATTGACTGCAGGTCTGGGGCTCCCGCAGCCTCCCGCCCCCTACCTGGTCCACCCGCAGCCCTCTGGCCCTGCTGTCCGACCCACGCCTTGCCCCCAACTCCCTCCCAGGTCCCTGGGGACAAGCCTGGTGCCGCTGTCGGACCCCAAGCTGGCGGTGCTCATCACCAACTCCAACGTCCGCCACGCCCTGGGCTCCAGCGAGTACCCGGTGCGGCGGCGGCAGTGTGAGGAAGTGGCCCGAGCACTGGGCAAGGAGAGCCTGCGGGAGGTGCAGCTGGAGGAGCTGGAGGGTGAGAAGGGCCGTGCCGGGACCCTGCCCCATCTGCAGCAGTCCACGCTGCAAGCCTGGTGCTCACTGAGGGAGGACGGAGGGTGGGAAACGTTAATCCGTGCACGCAGGAAGTATCTCTCCGCTTGGGCGGAGCACAATGCAAGGGGGGGCGGAGGCTTTTTTCTCATGCACTTCCCAACCTTTGCTTGGTTACTCCAAGGTTCCATCACCAAACTAACTCCCCCCACCCCGCCCCCCGGCGGCCCCCCTTGTTGCAGGAGATCAACACCCTTTGGCAGAAGCCGCTGGAGGGCAGGCACCTTAGGCCTTGCTCTCTGGCCCGTGTTATTGGAGGGGAGGGGTCTCCCAGCAGTGCTGGGGGCCACCAGGCTGCATTGGGCACGGTGGTGGTGGGGATCAAAGCTAAGTGCGCTGCGGGTGTGTGGAGCCCTGCCCCGGCCCTTGATGAATATTTTGTCTTGAAGGGGTGGGTAGAGATGAGATGTCGGGTTTGTGACAGGCGAGTCCCATGAGCCCTTGGCTGTATGTTAAGGCCGCCCAGACGCGTGGCCAGTAGCTGTCTGTTTGACAGTTTGAAGGTTGTGTAAATATTAACTCAGTTTGGGCCCCACGGCCAGTGCAGTGCTGAGACTTGGACCCCAGCAACTCAGCTCCCAGACCTGCTCCCTGCCCGGACTCCCCTTTCCCGACTACCTGTCACAGCCGCTGGCCGCTCTGCCCAAGCAGCCCTGGCCAGGACGCGTTGCCTCTCTCGGGGTTTCCCTCCCTCTGTGACCCTCCGGCTTGCTCCCCCCTGGAATGGATTCTCCCTCCCCTGCTAGTCTTGCTGTTTTGTTATTTTTTGGTTTTGGAGCCACCCCCCCGTGGGTGCTCAGGTGCCACTCCTGGCTCTGCCCTTTTGGGGGGCCATGTGAGGCTGGGGATAGGCTGCTAGGCCAGCACGTATACCCCTGTATTGTCTCTTGGGCCTTTCATTTCTTTTAATTTTGGGGCCCTTTTGGCCATACCTGGCTGTGCTCGGGTCACTCCTGGCAGTGCCCACATGTGGTGCTGGGGATTGAACCCAGGTCAGCGCCTGCAAAGCAAGTGCCTTCCCTACTGGAATTTGTCTTGTCCTAGCAAGCTTCTCATTTAAAAAAGTTTTTTCTGTTTTTGGGCCACACCTGGAGTGTTCAGGGCTTATTCGTGGCTCTGTGCTCAGGAATTATTCCTGGTGGTGCTCGGGGGATGATATTGGGTGTTGGGGATCGAACCTGAGTCAGCCTCATGCAAGGCCAGCACCCTCCCCGCTGTACTATTTATTGCTCTGGCCCCAGGCTTCTCATTTCTTGTTCCCTCAAGCTGCCTGACCCTAGCACCTCTCCAGGGGGCTCCCATGGGCCCCCTGGCCTGTCCTCTGCTCTTGGCCTGGAGTCCTCCCCCGCCTCAGTCACCACCCACTGCCTCTCCCCGCCCGCCCCCCCTCCCCCTCGTCTCCCCTGCCTGGCTCCTGAAGGGCAGTGGTGGGGCATGGTCCCCTCTGCTGCTGAGGTCAGAGCCTGCAGTCTCCGATTTCTACCTGGGACTCTTCCCTGACTCAGCAGAACTCACCCAACACCACACTGATTAGGGACTGGGGTCCCGTCCCGTCCCCCCTCCACCCCCCCGTCCCCGGTCCATCGTTCCCCGCCCCCCCCCCCCCCCACACACACACAGGCAATCCTTGAAACTTGAGCCCTCTATGCTGCCCCCTGTTGGGGCCACATCCTCTCTGGTCCCCTCCATCCCCTCCCCCACCTCTCTGGGTTTCACCTGCCCCGTCTCTGCCCTCCCCCAACCTCCATCCTGAACCTCCAGATGTGCCCTGATTGCCCTGCCCCCCCAGCCCCCCAACTCTTCTGGAGCAGCAGCACAGCGGGGAGGGCGTTGGCCCTGCACGTGGCCGACCCAGGTTCAGTCCTGGGCACCCCATATGCACCACTGTCTGTCAGCCCACGCTCTCCTGCCACACACTCAGCCCCCACTGCCCACCAGCGGCGGGAGGACCCACTTGACAGGGCGGATGCGTGCAAGGTCTGGGGTTTGGCTCAGTGCCCCCAGTGGCTGCCACAATGCCGGGTGCCCTCACACCCCCTTCTCTGCAGCTGGCCGGGAGCTGGTGAGCAAGGAGGGCTTCCGGCGGGCCCGGCACGTGGTGGCAGAGATCCGGCGCACGGCGCAGGGGGCGGCCGCCCTGAGCCGCGGGGACTACCGGGCCTTTGGCCGCCTCATGGTGGATAGTCACAACTCCCTCAGGTGAGCCATCCCCCTGGCCGCCCCGAGCCCCAGGCAGGGCGCCAGGCTGGGCTGACCCCACTGCGTCCCTGCAGAGACGACTATGAGGTGAGCTGCCCCGAGCTGGACCAGCTGGTGGAGGCAGCGCTGGCAGTGCCTGGCGTCTACGGCAGCCGCATGACCGGCGGCGGCTTTGGTGGCTGCACGGTGACACTGCTGGAGGCCTCGGCTGCGGCCAGGGTCATGCAGCACATCCAGGTAGGGCGTGGGGGCGGCGGGGGTTTCCCGGGGGGGGGGGGTTTCCAGAGGCCCCCGTGTGCTCAGACCCCTCCTCCCCCACAGGAGCAGTACAGTGGCACTGCCACCTTCTACCTCTCGCAGGCGGCCGACGGGGCCCAGTTGCTGAGCCTCTGAGCCCGACCCCCGCAACCCCCACACCTGCACCTGCTCAATAAACGTATGCCTGCACCCAGCACCTGCCTGCCTGGGGGGGGGGGAGGGGGGGCGGGCTGTCCCGGCTGGGCACTCCCTCCGAGGACAGGGCAGCCGAGCTGGTGCTAGCGACATCCTTTATTAAGTGCTGAGCAAGTGCGGGTCCCAGCGCTGTGGTTGCACATGGGCTGGGGCAGGGAGGGGGCACTTGGCGGGGCCTTGTGAGGCACTGACCCTTGGTTTCAGCTGCAGAGGGATGAGCTGCAGGAGTGGGGGAGGGGGCTCAGGTCTGGAAGAACTGTTGGTCCACCTGGCGGCTGAGGGTCCCGCTGGTGGTCAGCGTCCGGCTCACAAACTCCTGCGTCACGTGCCGGGTGAGGGAGCCGCCCACCTCCAAGTGCTGGGACCCCAGGGTCACTCCATCTGCGGGAGAGCAAGGTGGCACCCTGACCTCTGACTCACTGCCCTACGCCCCCCAGCCAAGGCCACACGCTGGCTCACCCAGGAGGAAGGGCTCTGTGGAGCTGGTGAGGGTAGTGGTCAGGGTGCTGTATTCCGGGGGCAGCGGCTGCTGGAAGAGGCCTGGGGCACCACCCAGCTGCGGGAAGTGGCCTGAAGGGATAGCAGGGTCAGGGGAGGCCCAGCTGGAAAGGGCTGGGCCAGGGGGACGCGTGCGGGCGGGCATGGCCTCACCTCCATCCTGCGACTCAATGGTGATGACCCCCTCCCGCTCTGGCCCAAAGCCGTTCGTGGTCTTGGCCTGCACCTTGAACTTGTAGGGCACGTTCTCGCTGAGGCCTGGCACGGTCAGCCGACTCTCCGGGGCATCGCCGTCCACCACAAATGTGGTGGCTGGGCCTGGGCGAGGGATGCGGCATGAGCTCGGGGCCCCCTGAAGCTCCCTGCGCCTACCCCCCCCGACCCACCCTCCCCTGACCCTGCCCGGGCCGCACCTGCTCCATGGGCCATCTCGCAGGTCACCAGGTAGCCCAGGATGTCCCCGTCAGGTCTGCGTGGCCGCTCCCAGCTCAGCTGCAGCGAGTCTGGGCTCAGAGCCATGAACACCAGGGGGCCCGGGGCACTGGGGGTGCTCAGGGTGAAGACGGAGCCTGGGGCCAGTGGGAAGTGAGTCAGGGCGGGTCTGGGTGGTCGCCACCATGCAGGTGCCAGGTGGGGTGCCCAGGCTCAATCCCTGTGGCACTTCTGGGTATAGCCCAGAAAGAAAAAAGCGGGAGAGGGGAGCTCACCTGGCAGCGGGCACAGTGGGCTCTGGGGGTGCACCTGGGACTCGATGGTGATGACCCCCTCCCGCTCGGGGCCCCAGCCATCCTGGCTCAGGGCCCGCACGCGGAACGCATACGAGTGGTTGGGCAGAAGGTTCTCCACGACCACTGACGTCTGACTGGGGTTGGTGATGTTGAGCTGATACACCTCACCTGGAGGGGCCAGGGCAGAGTTTGCAGCTGCTGGGTGGCCACCCCCTGCCCACTCACAGCCCTCCCAGAGGCACCCCTGGACACCAGGGGGTGGTTGATGCCCTGGTGCGGGTGGCTGGGGCTGGGCTGGGCACCCTCAGGGATGAGGGGAGTCTGGGTGCCCGTTGCGGGGCAGTTTGGGACTGGAGTGTTCCCCAGGGCAGCCCTGAGGAGCATCAGCTGCTTTTCAAATCTCCATCCACGAGGGGGGCTGCGTTTGCCTTGCACACAACTGACCTGGGGATTGACCCCCGTGTGCCCTTTCAGGCACTGCTGGCGGGGGGCCAGGGCATGCACAAGGCCCGAGTATTGGCTGCATCCCCCCTTCTTTGAGACAAGGTGAGGGAGATGGCAGCCCAGGAGGTGGAAGGGGGGTGTGGAGGTGGGCCCAGGCATCCTCACCGCCGCTCAGGAGCTGGTACTCCACGCTGTAGCCCTGCAGCGGCTGCTCACTCTGTGGCTCCTGCCAGCTCACCTTCAGCGACGTGGGGCCCAGGGCCGAGAACACCAAGCGGCTGGGCGTGATGCCCGAGTGGGAGTCTGGGGACGGGAACCCGTCAGCCCGCTCAGGCTCCCTCACGCACCAGCCCCCCTCGCCCTGCTCAGCGGCCCCGCCCGCCCACCCTGCAGAGCAGTGGCGGGTTAGGCACCAGCAAGTGGACAGATGGAGGGTGAGTGGCCTGGAGGGTCGTGGCGGTGATGCATGGATGGATGATGGATGGAGCGTGTGGCTATGGACCCCAGTGGCCGCCCCGATACCTGGGTCCCCCAAGGGTGCTGCCGGCTGCCCAGCCAGGATTATAGAGTCTGTCGAGGCCCCGCAGGTGGGGGACCCCTTCACCTGGGCCCAGCTCCGGGAGCCCAGGGACCAGGACAGTGGGAGCCTGCTCCTCCCGCCTTCCCAGATGGGAGGGAGGCCTAGGACAGGACAGAGCACAGTGAGGGGTGGGCAGGGGCTGAGGGCGCAGCCCGGTTTGGGGTGGGGGAGCACTCACGGTCCAGTGGCAGGGTGGAGAAGGCCCGGGGCAGCGTGGCAGTCTGCGAGCGCTCTGTGCGGCTCAGCGAATGGTAGTCGCGCGTGAGGGTGGATGAGGTGCTCAGCACACGCGGCCCCAGGTGCGGGCTCAGGTGGGTGCCGTAGGCAGTGTTGGCCACTGTCATTCTATGCAGGGAGCTGGCACTGCCCGGGAAGGCCAGGTCCACGCGTCCATTTGCCAGGTGCTCTGCAAGCAGGTGCGGGGTTGCCAGGGTTGTCCCTGAAATTCCCTGCCCCTGGGGACTTTGGAGCAGCTTCCCTGGGTTCTCCAGGGCCACCGTCCCTGGTAGTGTCCATGGAGCCACCACAGGCTCGGATATCCACTGACCTCACTTTGGGGGCACTCAGGCAGGGCGCTTAGCCCTGCCCTGGGGGGTGGCCAGGACCAGTGACCCCTGAGAGCTTGAGCTGGTCTCCTTAGGGACCAAGTGGATACTGTAGTGGTACGTCGGGACTGACTGCCCCTGGCTTCCTGGGGGTGCCCCGTGGCTGGGGGCTGGACTGGCAGTGGAGCAGGGGGTGAAGAGCGCTTGCCTCAGGGCTCTTGGCTTTCTGACCCTCCCACCCTCTCCCCCACACTCCCCCTGTGGTCTGGGGCATCGCCATCTATGTCTAATCCTGCTCCTCCCCAGCTGTCCCCGACTTCCTGGGGGGGGGGCAGGTCAGTCTGGGGTCTCTGTGAGCCTATGGGGCACAAGGCTCTGGACGGTCCCGGAAACCCCAGTTCAGAGCTGGGCTCCCACGGTGTGTTTTTAGCCCCGCTGTTTCCTCTGAACCCACTCACCTGCCCCTTCCTGCAGGCCAGGACAGGCCGGATCCCTATTCCGCACGCAACCAAACTGTGTCTCCCAACACCTGAGGGCTGAATGGGACCCTCCCCTGGGAGGCGCAGGCGGCTCACCTGTGTCGTCAGAGACGCTGGGCCTCTGGCTGCCGCTCGGGGAGCGCAGAACATCGTCGCTGTACATGAGGTAGCTGTCGTACTCGCCCCCGCACTGCGCAGCGTCCACGATAGGGATGTCGGGGATGATGGGGACTGCGGGAGGGCATGGGGGAGGGGCTGACGGGGACCGTGAGGGGAGGGCACGGGGGAGGGGCTGGCGACCATGGGGAGAGGGCACGGGGAGCGGCCCCCCACTCACTGGACATGGGCCGCTTGGGCTGCGTGGCCAGGTTGATGAGCGCCTCCCGCTCAGGCCCCCAGCCCGCGCCGTTGCGCGCCTTCACGGTGTAGCGGTACGGCTGCGACTCCCGCAGGTTCTCGATGAGCAGCATGCGCTTCCGGGGACTGTCCACCAGCACCTTCTTCATGGGCCCGATGGGGCCTGTGGCAGGCAGAGGGGACCCAAGGGGTTGCCAGGGTCAGCCTCGTCCCCTGGACCCCCCCCCCCCTTCACCATCTGGCACTGCGGGAGGGCTTGGATATTTGGCTGGACGCCACAGGGAAGGACGAGGGCAATACAGGCTCTGGGGGCCTCCAGTCCACGTGAGACTTGGGGACCCCCTAACTGGCAATGAGTGGCCACGGAGGCTGTGTTGGACCTGGACAAGTGGTGAGCTCTGGAGTTTCCCTTTAGGGTCCAGTGGAGGTCCGGTGAGCTCCCCATTCCCACCTTCAAGGCTGTGGGACCCCAAGAAAGACAAAGGAGACCCCACTGCCAACATCCCGCCTTCCAAGGAAAGTTCTGGAAAAGGACTATGAAGCTCGCCCTGCATGGCTCTATGGGGTTCCCTTCTGGGGTCCACAGGCCATGTGAGGGGGAGCTGCCTGTCACAGGCACTACCCCAGGAGATGGCAGGCCTCAGGGGGCCCACCCCCACCCCCGCGCCGCCCACCCTGCCTGGTCCCTCTCCCCCCCTCCCAGCCGCCCGCCCTGCCCAGTCCTCACGGTTGTCTTCGTTGACCAGGCCGTAGCAGACCTCGTAGGCCGTGATCTCGCCGTTCGGCTCGGCTGGCTCAGCCCAGCTCAGCTGGGTCACCGTCGGGGAGACGACGTTGAAGGCCAGTCGGCCCGGCTCACTGGGCACTGCGGGGATCGGGGAGTGTGGTGAGCAGGTGCGGCGCTGGGCACAGGCAGCCCGGGAGGGAAGCGGCTGCCTCACCTTCCTGGTGGGTGCGGCAGGACACAGTCGAGCTGTAGGGGCCCTCGCCCTGTGCCCCATACGCGCAGACCTTCATCTCATACTCGCAGTGTGGGTACAGGTTGGTGAGCTCCACCGATGGCACCCGGCTGTCTAGCAGGTGGGCTTCCGACTCGGAGTCACCTTGCATCCAGTACTTCACCTGTGCCCGAGGGGGGGGGTGCGGTCAGGGCGGGAGCTAGCACCTCAAGCCACCCCAATGCTTCTCTCTGTCCCCGTGGACAATATGAAAGGGAAGGGACACCCTTGGGAGCACATGGGATTAAGGGGGAATGTTCTAGAAATGGGCTTTCCCTCTGCTGAGATACACAGCCCTGTCCACTCTGACTCCAAATCCTCCCCTCCCTGCTACCTCCTTACCCTGTACCCCGTGGGCTTGCCACGGGGGGGCAGCCAGTTGAAGTGGATCTTCCGGGACCCAGCAGCCTTGGCATTGGGGCTCTGCGGAGCACCCAGGTCCACACCGCGGGGGGGAATGGCCCCTAACAGCGTCTGGTTCGTGATGTTCCCATCCATGTCATCTATGGTGGGTCAGGAGCTCAGGCATCCACTCTTTGAGAGGAGCAGAGCCCCACCCACCAGGGGACCCAGTCCCAGTTAAGTAAACATCAAGACTCACCCCCCACCACACCCCATGCAAGTCTTCACTGAGCTCTGTCCCTTCCATCCTGATGCCCAGCTCTGCCCAGGGGCTGTGACTCATCTCCATCATTTACTGGGGGCAAGGGGGCTGCAGGGGTGTCTCCAAGGAAGAAGGGAGAAGAGCAAGTTTGGCTGCTCCTGTGTCTCCTTTGACTGCCAAGGGAATGTTCCAGTGAGAACATCCGTCCCCTCCACTGCCACCACTCCCCCTTTATGCTGAGACCCTCCCTCCTCCCTCATCTTCTCAAAGGGCACACACTCAGGACCCTATGTGCTGGAAATAGGGGCCCAGTAAGAAGGAGCAGTTGGTGGAGCTGCAGAGATAGTACAGCTTGTCTTGCATGCAGCTGATCTGAGGTCCACCAGGGTGACCCCTGAGCACAGAGCCAGGAGTAAGCCCTGAGTACCATCGGGTGTGGCCCAGACTCTTCCTCCCCCCCAAAGAAGGGGCAGTTGGAGTCCATCCCAGCAAGGCTTACATTTGATTTTTAAATTTTTGGGGTCTCCCAAACAGTGCTCAGGGAGGGGGTCTGGGATGCCCCTGATGCTGCCCTGACCATGAAGCCATAGTCAGTCATGAGGCCTGTGGGTGCCGTGCTGAGGCCTGCAGTGCCTGCAGGGGAAGACCTGCATTTCAGATGAAACTGAGGCTGAAGCCAAGTGCTAATGCACCCCCTCCGGTCATGATGGCACCAAAACTGGCTGATAGTGGAGTGGTCAGATCAAAGGTAAACTGTTTGATCAATCGGATGCTCAAGTAAAACTTTAAAAAAAAATTTGGGCCACACTCAGTGGTGCTCAGGGATCATTAGGGGGACCCTAAGAAATACAGGGATCAAACCTGAGTTTGTTGCATGCAAAACAAGCTCCCGGCCAGCTGCACACTCTGGCCCCCAGCTCCTATTCTTTTACAGAATCAGTAAATCCCAAGCATGGCCGGGAACGAACCAACCTGCACCAGCAGGACATGGCTGTGGCGTGGGCATTCACCTGTCTGTCCTGGGCTCTGCTCTGACCCACACCCTAGGCCCGCCCTCCCCACGTCTGTGCCCACCTCGGTCCCCGATGATGACAGTGGCTGATGGATGCTGGCCCAGGCGTGTCCCAAACTTGGGGTTGAAGAGCTGGACCTGGAAGCGGCGAGTCTGGTTGCCGCGCAGGAGGGTATCCATCTCCTGCATGTCCAAGAGCTTCACGTGAAGCTCCTTCCAGGTCTCTCCAGGTTGGAACAGCAGCTCGCCCTCCTCTGGGAGGTAGTCCTGGGGAGTGGCCAGGCGACAGGTCAGCGTGGCTAAGCCCCTGCCAGGCCCCGCCCTACCCTGCCCGAGGTTCTCCCCAATTTTGCATCAAGCCCCGCCCCATCCCAGTCCCCGCCCACTCATGTCACAAGCTCCGCCCACCCGACTGAGGCCCCGCCCAATCCTGCATCAATTCCTGCCCCGACTCAGTCAGATTGTGCACCAAGCCACGCCCATCTAGACCCCGCCCACTCAACCCAGGGCTCGCCTGAGGCTCTGCCCCACCCTTGACCCCGCCCAGTCCTGAGTGAAGTTCCGCCCCACCCTAGACTGCGCATTCTCCCCGGACACCGAGAAACTAGAACGTCCCAGGTGGACACGGGACCAGACTTGGACTCCAGGCACCTCACAATGTTCAATGAATTACTAACTCGATGTGCCCTCGCGGCTATGTGAAACAGCGGTATTACTCCCCCGGGTTAGGAAACTGAGGCACACAGAGGAAGGAACTTGCCTGCCGTGCTGCCGGGGAGTTGAAGCAGGGCAGAAAGAGGGACATAGGGCCCCACACGGCAGGGCTCCGCCTCGGGGGCAGGCCAGAGAAGGAGGAACTGTCCCCCCATGCTGCTCTGAAGCTTGGGGTCCCAGGGGGTGTCCAGAACCCTCGGGCATCCGCTGGTGGAGTGCTGGTGAGCGTGGCTGGCGCCTTCTCTCGGGAGAACACTAGGGGGCGCCCTGCACTAACATTTCCACTCCAGATGCTGATCCAAACTCAAGTTCCATCAGACTCCTAAAGGAGCGCAGGCCCGCCCAGTACGAACCTGGGGTACACCAACCACAGGCCAGTCACTTAAAACGCCTCTGGGGGCCAGAGAGAGAACACAGCAGGCAGGGTGCTAGCCTTGCGCATGACCCGGCTTTGATCCCTGGCACCCAATATGGTCCCCCTAGCACCACCAGGACTGATTCCTGAGTGCAGAGCCAGGATTAAGCCTCGGGCACCACTAGGTGTGGTCCAAAACCCAAAAACAAAAAAGGAAAAGCTGGACAAAGTCCAGATTTTTTTTTTCTTTTTGGGTCACACCCGGCCATACTCAGGGGTTACTCTGGCTCTGCACTCAGGAATTACTCCTGGCGGTGCTCAGGGGACCATATGGGATGCTGGGATTCGAACTCGGGTCAGCCCCACCAAAGTCCAGATTTAAGGGAGGAGAACACGACAACAAAATACAATGGTAGATCCTTATGGGGCAGGGGGAGGGGGAGTGCTGTCAAAAGAAGACATGAGCACCCCCCTACCCCCACCTGTGATCTGAGTCCTGAGTTGCGGGTGGGCGCCTGAATCAGAATAGTGAGGTCCCAGTGCAGTGCAAAAGGGTGTCTCAGCCCTCAGAACAAGGAGGGAAGGAGGGCCTGCATTTTTTTTTTAATGGAATGCCAGGGATCGAACTCTGGTCAGCCACATACAAGGCAAACACCCTCCCTAATGTACTATCTTTCAGGCCCTGTGAGATAGTTCTGCAGAGCTGGGCCAAGTAGCCACTGACTTTGGCTTTTTTTTTTTTTTTTTTATGGGTCACACTGCAGATGCTCAGGGCTTACTCCTGGCTTGGGTTGCCAGGGATCCAGGTTGGTTATGTGCAAGTCCAGTGCCCACCCCACTGTACTGCCCTGCCTCTCTGGCCCCCAGTATCTCCTGGCTTTGGTTCGGGGTGGCTGAGGTGCTGAGGATGGCACTTGGGCCTCACCGGAAGGCGTGCACCCTGCCATGTGTCCCAGCCTAGGCCCGACCACTCTGCCTAAGTTCGGCAAACTCTGAGCACATCTGTGGATGAGCGGGATGTGCACGTGCCTCTGCACGCGGGAGACAGAGTAGAGTCCCGACAAGGAGAAACTCAATTCAACGCGCCTTTCCACCTGTCCTGAGCTCGTGTCTGTGTTTGTTTCTGTTTGGGGGCCACCACTGGTTCTGCTCAGAACTGACTCCTAGCTCTGCCCTTAAGGCTCTCTCGGGGCATCCTGGGGGTGGGGGAAACCACACATGGTGCTGGGGAAGGACTCGGGGTGGCAGCTGGGACGGCCACACGTTATCATCTGTTCTCTCCACGTTTCCTTAGGTTTGAAATACTTCCAAGGGGAAACTAGGGAAACGACTTAAAAGATGCTTCCGCCCCCCCCCCCCCCACTGTCTGCCAGGTGCCACACCTTACCCGGCTGCCCTGGGCAGAACCGTCCTGTGTGCGGTAGGACACCTGGCATTTGCCACTGTCCACGGCGCTCCGGACGACAGGGATGCGGGCCACACCGTCCCCTCTGCTCACCACGTACTCAGGCTGCTCGAAGGACACTGTCCCGTTGGCTGCAAAAAACCCGAGCAGGAGTCAAGGGGTCCCAGCCTGTGACCCCCACCTGGGCTGGCCACTTGCCTTCATGCCTGACAGCTAGCAGCAGCAGCGGGTCACCCTCAGCCCATCGCTCCAGGTGGGGCAGGGAAGGGAGAGAATTTGACGAAAAAGTGCAGGGGCTGAACTACATCCAGCAGAGAGAAGAGGCCAGAGGGCAGGGCAGGGCCAACGCCAGGGGGAGCAGGACAAAGGTCCCGGATCCTGGGGACAGTGTGTCAGGCACAGCACTGGCCTTCTGCTTCTCGTCACTTTCTGGCTGGTGCTGGACCCAGGGCCTCACTCGTGCCAAGCAAGTGATTCGCATCTGGATTTCTTCCAGGAGCCCCACCCGAGAGTGGGGGACCCAGCGTCCCCTCTGGGGCTCCTCTGCGCAGGCTGCACGGACCCTGGTGGGATGCTCAGGCCTGACCCATGGTGCAGAGCTTGGTCTGGGCGGTGTTAGGGAACCCAGGGCCTTGCATGGGCAGATGCACCCCCCCCTGGGTTACCTCTCCGGGCTCCGGGACAGCCGCCTGGGTGCAGTGTCCATGGAGCCAAACCTTGCCCACCCCCTGTACAATGATGAAGATGGACCCTCAGTTCCTGCACTGGAAAGAACCTACGATCCCCCAGGGTCAAGGGCCATGGGAGAAAGAACCAGGAATGGGACAGGGACAGTCCCCAGGTGATAACTGACCCCTACCCTCCTGCCATGCTCTGTGCAGAATATCCAACCGGAGCCCAGAAACTGTCCCAGAAACTGAGGGGGCTATACATGATGGTGCTCAGGGCTGACTCCTGGTTCTATGCTCAAGGATGACTCCTGGCTTTGTGCTCAGGGCCAACTTCTAGCTCTATGCTCAGGACCTCACACACACCTGGTTATGCTCAGGGCTGACTCCTGACTCTGTGCTCAGGGATGACTCCTGGCTCTATGCTCAGGGCTCATACCCGGGGATGCTCAGGGATCACTCCTGGGGGTGCTCAGGGAATCTTATGTGATGCCAGGGATTGAATTGGGATTGGCTGCCTTCAAGGTATGCACTATTTCTCTGCCCCCTTAGACCCATTTTACTGATGGAGAAACCGAGGCCCACCAAGGTGAAATAAGCAGCCTCAGCAAACTGCTCCTTGGGTAAGAGTCAGGGCCGTGCGTGTCCGACCCCCGCCCTGACTGACCCTGCTCCTTGATGATGGTGATGTGCACCAGGCGGCGGCCCAGGGTGGCGGTGCCCACGGGCACATCGATAGCCTCCACCAACAGTTGCTTCTCGTCGTCATCCTCGGGCCGGATGAAGAGGGGCACGCGCACATCCACCAACTCCACGCCAGGCTGGAACTCCACCATGCCGCGGGCCTCTGGGGGGCATGGTGGGATGGACAGATGCGGGTCAGGGGTCATCAGGGGCAGGAAAAGCGCGGGGGCCGGGGGGCGCCCACCTACCCTGCTCAGCCGTGAGGGTGTAGTAGCCGGGGGCCACCTTGAGGTCGTGGAAGGCCCTTTGCTCCACGTGCCTCTCCGTGAGCTTCAGCAGTGCCGGCTTGGCGGAGCGCGGCGCCATCAGCACTGTGTCCACGATGGTGTGGTCCTGCCTGAGTGTGTGGGCGCCGTCAGGGCAGCTGGGCGAGGGCACGCCCTTCGTACCCGTCCTCTCCCCCTCGGGGGACAGAACTGGGGGCAGTACAAAGTGCACGCTGTGGCCAGGAGACAGCAGGCGGGGAGGGCATCTGCCTAGCACGTATCCAGCGCGTGTTGGATCCTGGTTCCCCTGCTATCTCCTGAGCACTCGCAGGGGTGACTCCTGAGCGCAGAGCCAGGAGGGGCCCCTGAGCAGTGCTGGGTGTCACTCCCCCCCTTAAAAACTAAAGTGCAGTTCTTGGGCCAGGAAGACGGTATAGTGGGTAGCGGGGGAGCTTGACTTGCACGCGGCTGACCCGGGTTCCATCCTTGACATACCATGAGGGTCCCCTGAGCCCACCAGGAGTCACCCCTGAGTTCAGAGCCAGGAGTAAACCCAAACAAACATCACCAGGTATGGTCCAATCTCCCCCCAAAACCCAGCTGGTTCTAGGAGGGGTCTCGGATCATGTACCCGCTCCCCCTGCACGCCTCAAGGACCTTCTCTGGGCATCAGGGTGGGGGTCCCGGGCAGGTGGGAAGCGGGGTTCAGGGGCACCACTTACTTTTTCCCGGCGTTGGGCTGCTGCCTGCGGGGAGAGGAGGGTGGGAGTCACGGTTCTGGGCTGCGAGCAGGACTGCTTGGGGGTTCCCAGGGTTGGCCGTGTCCCTGAGACAGCTCCCCCTGTCCCCATCTCCCAGGAGCCAAATGTGGGGTGTGGGGTGTGGGGTGGGCACGGCATGGCCCCGCCCCCGCCCCGCCCGCCCGGGCCGAGACCCACCGACCCACCGGAACTTGGTGCGCTGGAGCCTGTGTGCGCCCGGGACCTGCTTGTACACTTCATTCAGCTGCGGGGGAGGGGGCTCGTGAGGCGCGTTCACAGAAGCAGCTCAGGAGGTTCCCCCAACTGCCCCTGCTTTCTTCCTGGGGCATTTCTGCCCTCCCCCCGCCCCCTGTTCGCCCCCCTGTCCACACTCATGTTCTCTTCCCTGCCCCCGCACTCACGTTCTCCTCCACCTCCTGGCGCAGCTGCGCGCACTCCCGCGTGTCAGGCTTCAGCAGGTTCTCAGTGCAGAGGCGGCCGAGGCGCAGGGATAGCCCGTAGGGCACTGGGGGCGGCAGTAGGGGGGTTCTCAGGCCTGGCCCGGCGGGACCACGGCAGGAAGGGGGGCCGGTGCCTGTCCCGGGGCCTCACCCAGCTCGGAGGGGTTGGTGCTGGCAGCGCGGGAGGCGAAGCCCGGCCGCTGCACGTTGTTGGTGACCTTCCAGCGCACCGTGTCGCGCCCCTTGAGGGTCCCGCTGCGCAGCAGGGGCGTGTCCAGGTGGTCCGAGGCCATCAGGTTCTCCCGCAGCATGTAGTGGTCCTCCTTGAAGCCCACCATGTGGCCTACGGGGCTAGCGCTCAGCACAGGACCCGCCCCCCAGGCAGCCCCTAGCCCCCCGTCCCTTCCTGGGCCCTGGGGTACCTCGGTTACAGCAGGGGAGCAGCGCCAGGCAAGCCTAGGAGACAAGGGGTGGGATGAGGCGGGGACAGGGACCCACAGACACCAGGATGTTGGGCGGCTGCAGGGGCACACCGAGGGCGAGGGGGGCTCCCCGAAGTTTGTGCCAAGAGACCCTGGTCCTGCCAGGGGTTGTCAAGGTTCCAAGAGGAAACCATCTGTGGTGCGCTGTGTGCCCCCTGGTCATGGGCAGACCCCCCTGCCTGTCATGCCCAAGGGAGCTGCTCGACACCAGCACCGACAGCCACGACTCAGGGGGTTCAGGACCCCCTTCATCATCTCCTTCTGGGGCCCCCTCCCCTAGCCTATCAGCTCCTGGGCCCTGCCCTGACCCCTGGCCTCTGGGGTCAGTGGCTGCCGTACATCTGGACACTATAGTTGGCAGAGGAGGGTTCCTGCTCTTAGGGGTCCTGGGGCTGAGCCAGGCGGTGACCCCGCCAGGGCACAGGGGAGACCAAAGGGTGGACCCTGCCAGAGCCCAGGGAGGCAGCGGGTCACAGGAGCCCCCCAGGAGGCAAACCCCAGAGGCACAGGGGGCCCCAAGGCAGACCCCCCCAGGAGGCCCTAAGGCAGACCCTCGGGGCACAGGAGGCCTCAAGGCAGACCCCGGTGGCATAGAAAGCCCTGAGGCAGACCCCTGGGGCACAGGAGCCCCCCTAGAAGGCAGACCCCAAGGGCACAGGGGGCCCACGGCAGACCCCTAGGAAGCCCTGAGGCAGACTCCCAGGACACAGGAGGCCTCAAGGCAGAGCCCTGGGGCACAGGAGGTCTCAAGGCAGAGCCCCGGGGCACAGGAGGCCTCAAGGCAGAGCCCTGGGCCACAGGAGGCCCGAGGCAGACCCCATGGGAGGTCGGGTGGCCCACCTTGCAGCAGGCGCAGTACTTCCAGCAGAGCAGCAGCAGCAGTGCCAGCAGCAGCAGCAGGAAGAGGAGCAAAGGGATGAGCCACCAGAAGGAGCCGGGAGGACAGTCTGGGGAGGAAGGAGACCATGGAGTCTGGGCTCCCCACCCAGCCCACGGGCCGACCCCTCACCCGGCCCCAAAAGTGGGCTCACCCTTCTTCTTGTGCACCAGGACTGTGCTGTTGGGCCCAGGGGCGCCGTCACCCTCCACCGTGTAGCTGTAGGTGCAGTCGTCGTCTTCGTCCCGGAAGGAGCAGTGCTCCACCACCTCCTCCGCTGCGCCCACACAGCCAGCAGGGCACCCCAGATGGTCAGAGGGCACCCCACCTGCCGCACCCCTCCCGCACCTCCATATGGTCAGCAGGGCACCCCCACTGTGCTCAGGGCTTACTCCTGGCTCTGCACCCTGGGGTCACTCCTGGCAGGCTTGGAGGATCCTATGTGGTGCCAGGGATTGAACCCAAGTCGGCTGTGTGCAAGGCAAGCGCCTAAACCACTGTCCTATCACCCTGGCCTCATGGCCCTTCTTCTTTTTTTGAGCCACACCAAGCAGAGCTTAGGGATTACTCCTTGCGGACAGACTGGGGGACCCTATGGGAGGCCAGGGATGGGACCAGGGCAGGTAGCGTGCAGTGCCAGGGCCCCCGCGTACCTCTCTTCAGCTCGTCCACCATCTTCACCTGGAAGCTGCACTCCTCACACATGCGCCCCTTCTTCTCTCCAGTGCCCCAAGCCTGGCACTGCACGCAGGAGCGCAGCTCCTCACAGAGGCCCAGGCGGATCTGGGGCGGGGCAGAGGGTACCATGCTGGGCGGGACCCCAGCTTGCATCCTCCCCGAGGCAGCCTGGGCGCCCCTGGGGTCCCCCCCCCACACGCCGCTCGCCTGGGCCTCACCGCGGAGTAGTTGATCTCGCAGACAGTGTCTGTGTAGAGCGAGTGTTGGCTGCAGCGGCAGCGTCCACACACGCAGTCGCCTCGGCCATTACAGATGCCCTGGGGTGGGGGTGGAGCACCTTCACTCAGCTGTGCCCCTGCCCAGACCCCGCCCGCTCCGCTCTATCCCTGAGCCCTCTTGGGCCTACCCCACTGCTATCGATGCAGGTGGCATTGCTGAGCGGGCAGTCACAGCTATCGCCGGTCCAGCCAGGCTCACACACACAACGGTTCATGGAGCAGCGGCCCCGGTCTGCAGAGAGGCGGGAAGCAAGAGGAAGCCCCGTTTGCCCCTCCTGTCCTAGATGCCCCCCAGACATGGCCTCCGCGCCCCTTCTGGGATTCTCCTTCCCTCTCTCGTCCCTTCCACACAGCAGTCTGGGGGACTTGCCCAAAGCACAGATTCACTCCCATGAACTTGTGTCAGGACTTTGCGTCTGAAAACAGTGGAGGCAATGAAAGGAAATAGCTAACTAAAGAAGGGTCAGAGTGAGAGCACAGCAGAGAGGGCGCCGGCCTTGCATGCGGCTGACTGGGGTTAAATTCCTGGCACCCCATAAGGTCCCTCGAGCCTGCCAGGAGTGATTCCTGAGTGCAGAACCAGGAGAGTAAGCCCTGAACACTGCCAGGTATGGCCCCCAAACAAAACGAAACCAAAAAAAAAAGAAGCTGCAAGTGGAAGATGAGTTCTCATAGTGGGTGTGGGATGACGACTGGATACTAGGTTAATACAGAGCTGAGAGATAGAATCAGCTACTCTAATTATCCTTTCCTCCAAAGGATGAAAACCTAATTCACTTGATCACTTGACTTCCCATTAATTGTCGATTTGCTCGAGCGGGCGCCAGTAATGTCTTCATTTGTCCCTGTCGCGTGCTAGTGGCATCTGTTCGCTCCAGGAACATGAAGAGCCTCAAACCGATCGTTCATGATCTTGATGAAGAAGTCTGACCATCTGGTAGGTGGGCGGCCACGCGGTCTTTTGACATCCCGTGGAATTCAGTTGGTAACAGCTCTAGTCCAGTGGTCGTCTTTAAATCTCATTATGTGACCAGCCCATCTGATTTTTGACACCTTGGCAAACGAGACAGCGTCCCTGATTCTTGATCGTCGATGGATGTCGGAACTCTGGATTCTTTCTCTCATTTGAGTGAAACGTGATATTCCAAGCATAGCTCTTTCAATTCCTCTTTGGGAGACCCGAATAGCGAACAGCGTTCTCATCCTGTTTACGTAGGGCCCAGGTCTCTGAGGCATATGTTAATGCAAGAATAACAGTGGAATCAAAGAGATGTGCCCAGAGCCGGAGGTTCTTCATCCTCTTAGGTATTTCTTCAACGCTCTTGAAGGCGTTCCAAGCCACTCTCTTCCTCCTGTGCAGCTCGGTGCCAGGTCATTTGTCATGTTGACTTCTCGACCTAGGTACATAGCTGTTGCAATCGGAGATGGTCGTTCCGTTGAGAGCGAATAGGGCGTCAGGAACGAGGCTGTTTCTCACAAACATTGTCTTCGTAAGATTCAGCTGTAGTCTGACCTTTCCACACTCATGGTCGAAGTCGGCCAGCATTTGTGCCGCTTGGCTGATGTTTGGTGTTATTAAAACAATGTCATCAGCAAAGCGGAGGTGGTGTAGTTGCCGACCATCTATCTTCACTCCCATTCCTTCCCATTCCAGTCGTTGCATGATGTTCTCGAGGGTGGCACTGAAGAGTTTCGGTGAAATGGTATCACCCTGCCGAACCCCTCTCTTGACATCAATGATTACTTCTTTGTAGAATGGTGAGATCCTGGTAGTGAATCCGTAATACAGCTCATGGAGGATCTTGATGTATTGAGCTTGAATGCCCTGATTGGCTAGGGCTTCAATGACCTAATTAACCTTAAACAAGACTTGGCAAGTGACACCAGAGATATACAAGGCAGTGCAGAGGTGTGGCGCGGGGGCCATGTGCTTCTGGGGATCAAACTCAGGGCCTCTGCAGGCTAAGCCAAGTGAGCACTCCAGCCCTTTCTGTTTTGGGGCCACAACCGGCGATGCTCAGGGGTTACACCTAGTTCTGCTCTCAGGATCTATTCCTGGTGGTGCTCAGGAGGACCATAAGGGATGCCAGTGATTGAACCTCAGTTGGCAGCATACAAAGCAAACGCCCTATCCGCTATGCTATCACTCTGGCCCCTCACTCCAGCCTTTGAACTGTTTCCCTGGCCTCTCTACCTTTGTGTCCTTCTTGAAAGTCTGAATTCGTTTTGCAAAGACTGTTCAGCCGCGTGCCTTGCATGCAGCTGATCCTGGTTGATCCCAGGACCCACAACTGTCAGCACTGATAGGCATGCCTCCCCACATCCTGGGACTGGATGGGCCCTGGTCTAGGAACCCAGCCTGCATTTGGGCCCTGCCTCCTTTTCCGGAGCACCTCACTCCCCCTCGGCCTGTGGGGCGCCCACATTCTCCCAAAGGTGCCAGGCGCTGACAGAAAGAGCTCTCTGCTAGGGCATGGATCCCCGCCCCATCCCAAGCATGGGGCCTAGAAGGCATTGGATAAGTGAGCTGTCACTCATCTTCCTCCGTCCAATCCCATGGCCCATCCACACCCTCAACTAGTGCGGTGACCCGGGCGGGCACAGGCGCAGAAGCCACGGCGAGGTCACGCAGCATAGGCTGGCTCACGCTGAGGACAGAGACCGAGGGTGTCGGGGGAGAAGGTCTAGGGTGGGGAGCACCCGGGGTCCGGCCCCATTGGCCCCCCACCGGCCTGGGCAGAGGGGAGAGCGGGGAGGGGAATCGTTCTACGGCGTCCCCGAGCCCCCACCTCTCACCCGGGTCCCGGGACCCCGACCCCCAGCCCTGATTCCCAGGCCCCGGCCCCTGACCCCGATCCCTGACCCCGGGACCTCGATCATGGACCCCTGGCCCCCGACCCCTGACCTCTGACTCTGGCCCCCCCACCCGATCCTTGGCCTCCTACCCCCGACCCCCCACCTCTGACCCCGACCCCCGGTCCTGGGACTCCGACCCCAGGCCCCCTGCCCGGGTCCTTGGCCTCCCACCCCGACCCCTGATCCCGACCTCGCCCCGCACTCACCATTGCAGAGGAAGCCGGACGTGCGTGGACACTGGTAGTTGTCGAACTCGCAGAACTGGCCCTCGTAGCGGCCTTCGCCGTAGCACACGCAGCGGCCGCACTGGCACTCGCCGTGGCCCGAGCACGGCTTGTCGTCGCCGTCGCGCACGCAGGGCGCCGTGTCGCTCAGCGAGCCCGTGGAGCAGTTGCAGGTCTTTCCGCTCCTGCGGGAGGACCGTCACTAGGGTCTGGGAGTCGCCCTGGCGCTGCTGGGCCCGGGGCCCCGTTCAGCCGCGCGCAAGGCTCCGGGGCTCGCTCTGGCTCACGCTGGGCACACAAGGGTTGCTCGGGACTGACATCCCGCCCGGCTCCCTCCCAGATCGCCCGTTTGCATTTGGACCACACCCAGCAGTGCTCAGGGATCACTCCTGTGTCTGCCCACGGATCACTCCTGCCGGGGCTGGGGGACCGTAAGCAGTGCCGCGTGCCTGGCCAGTGCCCTCCCCTCTGTACCATCTCTGGCCCGTTTCTACTTTGGTTGTTCTTTTGTTTTTCCTGGGGTTCACACCCTGTGGTGCTCACGGTTTACTCCTGGTTCTGTGCTCAGGGATCACTCTTGATGGGCTGGGGGACCATATATATGGGCAAAGCCAGCAGCAGCTATCTGAGTCATCCCCTCAGCCCCACCAGTTCTGTGGTCGTTGGAGAACCATGCCTGATGCAGAGCCCTAAAGCGCAATGCCCACCCTGCCTGCTTTCCAGAAACATCTGGATGGAAGTGGTCAGCGCTCTGCCCCTGCATCAGCCCACAGCTGGTGGGCACCCCCCACCCCCCTCCATCCCGCCGTGCCCTCCCTGCACTCACCAGCCCTCGCTGCACACACAGTGGCCACACATGAAGTCCCCGTTGAAGTGGCAGCGGGCCGAGCGCGTCTCTTTTTGCTGGAGGGAGACAGGTGTGGGGTGTTGGAGGCGGGCACATCTGTCAGCCCCTCCCACCCTCCCCAGCACCTGGCGAAGGGAGGTGTGGCCGTGGGAGGCAGCCCCGCCCCGGAGTCGGACGTACCCGCTCGCAGGCGCACACGTCGCAGATGATGCCCACGTCCATGATGAGCCCGTCGGAGAAGGACGGCTTCAGGTGGACGTTGCCCCCCTGGTCCTCCTCCGGCAGCTGGCACACGTGCGTGCCGTCCACTTCTTCCGCCGCCCGCAGCTGCACGCGGTACGTGCCCTGCAGGGATCCACCCCTCCAGTCAGCCGGGACGCGGACGGGGATACCCGGACGCTAGCGCTCGGGCTCGGGTCCAGGCTGGGTCCCCCCGCGCATGCGCAGGCCTGCACTCCCACACCCGGCCCAGGTCCAACAGTGTCCAACGGGGGCGCCCCCCCCCCCCAGGCTCTGAGACCCAGCCTGGGGGATCTTCAGATTTGGAGGATGTTGGGCCCCCACCCCAGGTGCTCAGAGGCTGCTCTCAGCTTGTTGCCCCCACAGTGCTCAGGAGACCCCGGGCCCCTCATGGTCAAGGCCTGTCTGTGCCCTGCCCTGGAGCCATTCCCCGAAGGCGCCTGGACAGGTCAGCAGTCCCTGTCCAGTGCCCCGGCAGCCTACCACTTCCCCCCGCCGGATGTGGAAGGAGCCGGTCTTTGTCTTCTGGAACATCACGGAGGTGACCTCTGTGCGCAGACCTCGGGGGCTGTCCAGGGCCCGTATGTCCAGGTTGGAGCGAATGCGCTGAAGAGGGGGGGGGTCGGGGTGGGGTGGGGGTTGGGGCTCATCTCCTGGGGGGGTCCGGGTGCAGAGTCCCCAGGAACTCCTCCCGACCAGGCAGAAGCTTGTTCCATCCCACCCCCCACTCCCCACTCCCCATCCCACCCCCCATGGGGCAGCGCTCACCTCGAAGGCCTCCTCCAGCAGCTCCACGATGTTGGACGAGTCCTCCTGGAGCACCCCCAGGGAGGACACGGGGAAGTACGTGTGCAGCTTCTATGGGGGACGATACGGGGGACATGTGTAGCTCCCCGGGGCCGGCGGCGCCCACTGCACCCACAGGATGGCCGGGCCGCCCTCATCTCCCCCTGCTACTCCCCCATCCCACCACCCTTGGGAACCTTGGAACACTTTGGGAGGGCAGGAGGGTCAGGATGGAGGGCGGGGAGGGGCACCTCGTAGTAGCTGTAGGAGTAGTTGGTGACAGCGAAGATGGGGATGATGTTGTGTTTGCCCAGCAGGCGCACCAGCGTGGGCACCGAGGGGTAGTCCTGGGTGCGGTACTGCGTGTAGGTGCCCGTGGCATCCAGGTGGCACTCCTCGTCGTTTCGCCGTATGATGCCTGCCAGCACGTTGGCACCGTCCGCCTCGTAGTGGAACGCGGACTCCGTGGAGAAGACCAACAGGTGGGTGCTCTCAGGGCGCCAGCCAATGTCCCTCTGAGAGGGTGAGGGGCGGCCATGAGCGGATGCCAGCCTACCAGCTGATCCCCGCAGCAGTGACATGCGTGACACCGTTAAGAGCAGAGACCAGTAGCGGGGCGGGGGGGTGGCCCTGAGGGATCCCAGCCGGCTGTGCCCGGCTCTTGGTGGTGAGACATTGGGACATTAGTTGGGAACCTCCCCAGGTGATGCCCAGGATGCCCTGCGCCGTCCCCCCACACTTGATGTGATGCTCATCAGGTGACCCCCAGGCTGACACTTGGGGACCATGCACCTCTGGGGATCGGGGCACGCAGCCCCGACCACTGAGCTATTTTCTTGGTCTCTATTGTTGGTTCTGGTGGGGGGCTGTATTTTGGCCGTTGGCTGCAGTGCTCAGGGGCTGCTCCTAGCTCGGTGCCTGGGGTCACTCCCAGTGGTGCTGGGGGATCGTGCAATGCTGGGGGCTGACCTGGCCCCTGCTCTCAGCCCTCTGAGAGCTCCCTGCAGCCCCACTGTAAGTTCTAACGCAAGGCCTGGGGTCAGGCCGGTGGCTCCATGGACGAGCTTGTGCTCTGGGGCAATCACACCCTGAAATAAAAGACTAACGGGGGCACAGCGGGGAGGGCGTTTGCCTTGCACACAGCCAGCCTGGGTTTTTCCCACATCCCATAGGGTCTTCTGAGCCTGCCCAGAGTGATGCTGAGTGCAGAGCTGGGAGTCAGCCCTGAGCACCTCTGGCGTGGCCCCCAAATCATAAAGAAGAACACTATGGTCCTATTCAGTGGGGAAAACGCAGGTCTGGGAATCGGAGCACACGGATGCCACTGTGCATGGTAAGAAGAATATGCTGGCGGGATTCCAGGTGTCCGAGTGGAGAAATGATGGGGACTCTGACCACTGTCCCCCGAATCATCCGTAACACGGATGCCATTTTCTGAGCAGGGGAGGGGCAGTGGCATCCACCTCTCCCCCTTCAGTCGGAGACGGTGGTGGCGAGTTCTGGGGGTCCGGCACTAGCAAGGAGGGGGGTCGGGTGCGAGGCAGCCACTGGGCACACAGAAGCTTTTAGAAGCTTCGGCCTGCAGTGCTCAGAGCAGGGTAGGGTGGTCCATGCCTCCTGAAAGGCCTGAGTTTGTTGCAGGTGAGGGGCGCCTGTAGCCAGGAGGAGAGAGGGGCAGCACTCACGGTGCACACAGCTGTCTGCAGTATGGCATCAAACCCGCCCTCAGGGGCGTCCAGGTTGCCCGAGACCCTCTCGCCCTGCAGCTTGGTCCGGAATTCGTTCTCATCGTTCGTGAGGCTGATGACGTTCTTGAAGGAGAAGGGGGCGTCGCTGTTGGGCCAGGGCTCCTTCAGCCTGTGCAGAGGTGGGGGGGGAGTTAGGGGGAGCACCTGCACCCCGGGACCCCCTGCTGCCCATGTGCCTCCCCCCTCCCCAAGAGCCACAGCATCTGTGGGCCCTGCCCTTGTGTCCTTAAGTGTTTCTTTTCTTTTTTTTTTTTTTTGCTTTTTTAGGTCACACCCGGCGATGCTCAGGTCTTACTCCTGGCTCTGCACTCAGGAATTACTCCTGGTGGTGCTTGGGGGACGATATGGGATGCCGGAGATCGAACCCGGTTTGGCCACATGCAAGGCAAATGTGCTCACTGTGCTATCGCTCCAGCCCCTTAAATCTTTCTTTAATTGAAGCCAGAGAGATGGTCCCAGGTTAAGTTAGGGCCCTTGCTCCATACCCGGCACTGTGTGGCCCCCTCGTGGCCTGAAAACACAACCCCAAGCCCCCCAAAGACAAAAGAGCCAGTTGGTGGTTTGGTGTCCCGGCTTCGTGTCCACAGCAGGGAACAGATGGGCAGATTCAGAACAGGGGGTGCCCTGGGCTAGAGGGAGCACACGGCAGGGAGGGCGCTCGCCCTGCACATGACCGACCCCAGGTTTTATTCCTGGCACTGCCTAGGGTCCCCCAGTGATCCCTGAGCACAGAGCCAGGAGTGATCCCTGAACACAGAGCCAGGAGTGATCCCTGAGCACAGAGCCGGGAGTGAGCTCTGAACACACAGCCAGGAGAGATCCCTGAGCACAGAGCCAGGAGTGAGCCCCGAGCACAGAACAGGGAGTGATCCCTAAACACAGCTGGTTGTAACCCCAAAGCCAAAACCAAACAATATAGTGGAGGCTGGTTCCATAGATCAGCTTGGTGGAAATCTGGGAGGCGGAACACACTGGTGAATAATCAGTGGCATGCCAGAGAGCACACACCATGGAAGAAATGGAGGGCAGGGGCTGGAGCAGGGCACAGCAGGCAGGACGCTGGCCCCGAGCACCTCCAGGAGTGACACCTGAGCACCCCTGGGTGTGACCCCAAAGCAAAACAAAACAAGAAAAGTCTGGCTCATCGGTTTGCAAAGCCTTCAATGTACCACTGCCACTGCTACCGTTAAAACCAGCTTACTGACTCCGGGACAGCTGGTGATTCCCTGAGCTTTGCATGGAGTGCAGCCGCTGCACTATCTCTCGGACTCAATCCATTTATGATTAAAAAAATATTCTTGGAGGAAGAAACCTGCCCAATGGCCAGTGAATTACGTAATAAAAACACTGATTTTTATTTGGGGGGGGTGTTGTTTGTCTTGGGCCCACACCTGGCAATGCTCAGGGGTTACTCCTGGCTCTGCGCTCAGGAATTACTCCTGGCGACCATATGGGATGCCAGGAATCGAACCTGGGTCAGTCACATGTGAGGCAGACACCCTCCCTGCTGTACTACGGCTCCAGACCCAAAAATGTTTGTTGGCCGAACCCTGGCAAGACAGACTCCCAGAACCCACCACGCAGCCCAGCGTGTCCAAGTGGACAGGCCGGGCATCGGGCTGGGCCTTGCCCCCAGTCACTCACTTCTCTGGTCTCATGTCCGTCTGCGGGACGCTGACTTTGTCCACGAACTTGCCAAACCCAATAGTGTAGTCGCTGGTGAGCTGGCTGAGGACGCGGGCTGGGAAAGGGGGATCCGCTGAGCACCCTCAGCTTGGGGAGGGGAGCCAGTCCCCGCCAGCCCTGTGCACACTCACACGGTCCCTGTCCCAGCCATAGACGAGGGACACGGGCTCACGTGACCCAGATTCAGGCGGGCAGCACGTCGCTGGGGAGTTCAGCCCCACACCCCCGCCCCCCACCCCCCAGACCCTGCTGTGTCTCCTCTCCTGTCTCCTCCTGTCTCCGGGCCTCAGGCTGTCTGGCGGGGACCCCCCCTGGGGTGTGGATGTGCTGAGTCAGACCCCCGGGGTTGTACCCAGGTTCTGCCCCATCTTCTTGAGGTTGTCCAGATCGTCGGACATGGAGTTGGAAAAGTCCATGAGGATGTATAGGTCCACGGGGCTCTCCAGGGGCTCGAACACCTCCAGGTCGAAGAAACGCTCCTCCCCGGGCCGCAGGCGGGCGCGCAGGCCCTGCGGGGCCACCTGGCTGCGCCGCAGGGTGGTGTCGATCCGGCCCTCCTGTGGCAGAGACGGAGGGTGACCCCTGGAATCCGCCCCCAGCCTCGGAGACCCACCCGGCCACCCTGGCCCTGCCCCCTGCACCTCTGTGATCTCCAAGCTGCTCTCCATGACCACTAGGCTCTCCTGCCCACAGCCGGCTGCCACCAGCTCCTCCCGGATGTTACAGCGGTGACCCTTGAAGAGCTGGGCAGCAGAGGGAGAGGGGTTAGCGGGGCCACCTGGTATGGCTGACGCTGGCCTTGGGTCTCCCACCCCTGAGGACCTGCGGGGTGCGGGGGCCACAGCAGTCACCTCATCCGTGCAGTATGCGCAGTCCCTGGCCACGCGGATGCACTCGGTGCAACTCTTGACCAGTGCTTTCTTGCAGCGGTTTGCTGGCGGGAGACAAGGGTGAGGAGGGCGAGATGTGGGTGCTCCGCCCCCAAGGCAGTGCTCTGTCCCCAGGCAGAGACCCCTGGGGAGCCGCTGAGCCAGGTCCCAACCTTTCCCGGCTGGGATGCGGGTGGGGAGGCTTTGGGGAGCCCAGCACCAGGCCTGGCGCCACTGTTGCATTTCTGTGTCCCCAGCGTCCGGCCCAGGGTGCGGGTGAGGTAGTACAGAAAAACTCCCACCAATGGCTTCCCCATTTCCAGGGGTTCCCTCTGCTTCCATGCAGGGAACATCACTGCGAGAAAGGCTCGTGTGCCCAGTGGGGGTCTCTACCCAATTTCATACTCCTTGTATGTCATTTTTTGGTTTATTTATTTGTTTTCTGTTTCTGGGTCATACCTGGCGATGCTGGGGTTACTCTGGGCCCTGCACCCAGGAATCACTCCTGATGGTGTTCAGGGGACCACATGGGATGCCGGGGACCAAACCTGAGTGGGTCACGTACAAGGCAAATGCCCTACCCGCTGTATACTATCTCTTTGGTTCCCCTTTTATGACTCTTTTGGGGGGTTCCACACCCAGTGATGCTCAGGGCTGACTCCTGATTCTGCACCCAGGGATCACTACTGGGAGGGCTCAGGGGACCCAGTGGGGTGCTGGGAATTGAACCTGGGTCAGCTGTGTGCAAAGTAAGTGCCACACCCCTGTGCCATCTATCCATCCCCCCCCCCATTTCATAATCTCAACAATGCTGCTGTGGGTTCGAGCCATGGGACGATGGAGCCGGCAGTCCTGGAGGACAGCCCCTTGTCTCCCATCCCTCTGCCCTGGGACCTCAGCCCCCCACCATCCCAGCTCAGGAACTCTCCCCGCACCATCCCGGCTAGGATCCCCCACCATCCTGGTTAGGGACCCCCCCCCACCATCCCGGCTAGGGACCCTCACCATCCTGGCTAGGGACCCCCACCATCCTGGCTAGGGATCCCCCCACCATCCCAGCTAGGGACCCTCCGCCATCCCGGCTAGGGATTCCCTGCCATCCCGGCTAGCGACCCCTCAGCATGATGGTAGCTGATGGCAACATGGGGCGAGCGGGACTTACCTGAGGTCCCCAGGAGGGTGGTGCAGAGCAGGACAGTGAGCAGCAGCTGAGTCCACCAGGGGCTGGGCCGTGGCCTCGCCATCCTGTCCCTCCTATGAAACCACAGCTCAGGCCTGGCCCTGGCCGTCCCATCCCCCTACCCGTTCCCTGGGCCCCTCTTCCCCACCCCCGATTCTAGACCCCGGCTGCCAGTCCCACAGCGTGGAAATGGAGGCCAGGTCCCGACTAGTCCCCGCCAAGGCCCTGCCACACGGCCCCGGGCAGCTGCAGGCCCCAACCCGCCGACAACCCCACCCTCAGACGGCTGAGGGCTCCGCAGCCGCCCTGCAGGCAGGAGGAGCTGGTTCTGGCCCTGCCTTCCAGCAGGAAGGGACGGGGTTCCCTTTGCGGGGGAGGGTCACATCCCGTGGGGCAGTCCCCCTGGGGCCATTCCTGCCTCCTCTTGCCCAGGGCCGGGGGAGCTGCCCACAAGCGTGCTGCACTTTGGTCTCCCCCCAGTTGTTTTGATCCCGAGCAGGGTACCCGGAGTTCCATCACCCACACCCAAGCAGGCCCTTAGGGACACTCTGCCCCAGCTCAGGGTGAAGCCACCCACATCGAACACGTGCAGGAGCCCCCAGACAAGGGCCTGGCCACAGCCTCCTGAGCAGGGGCGAGTCCTCCCAGAGGCCACACTGAGCCCACTGACCATCCCTGGTCCCCGGTCAGGGACTGACTCAGCCTGGGGGGGAGTGAGAAGCTGGGCGCCCCCTGGAGCTGCAGCAGGGTGCGGGAGGAGCCCCCCAGCACGGCGAGCCCAGCCTGGGGGTGCTGGTGAGGGGAGCTGCCGCTTTCCCCACCTTCCCGTCCCCCGCCGTGCCGTGTTCACTCTGGGCGTGATGGTTTTTGCGTGTTTATTTATTTTTGGTTTGTGGGTCACACGTGGCGGTTCACGGGACTGACTCCTGGCCCATGCTCAGGGGTCGCTCCTGGCAGGGCTTGGGGTATCAGGGATCAAACCCAGGTCAGCTGCACGCAAGGCCAGCACCCACCCGACTGTGGACTGCTCCAGCCCCTGAGTCCAGAGGCGCCAGGAGGAGTGGGGGGATGATGATCCCATCTTCCGGGGGAGCCTGTCTCGGAGCTGTGGGGTGAGCTCTCTGGGTCTTTGTCAGGGCTAGCCTGTGGGTGACAGGTCTCAAACAAAGGGCTTTCACAGTGGCCCAGCCCGCGGCTGCCAGAGGGCAGGAGCGCAGGCTCAGCTCCCTCGGAACTGCTTGGCTGCTTTTTCTCTTGGGGGAGCATTCCCACAGTACTCAGGGCTGACTCCCGGCCCCGTGCTCAGGGGTCACTCCTCCCAATATTTGGGGGACCCCGGGCTACGCTGGGATAGAATCCGGATCCTCCGAGTGCTGTTTTCTGCACCAGCCCTGTGGGGGGAGTGGGGAGGGGGCTGTGTTGCTGCCACCCGGAGGCTGTCCCAGAGCAGTGCGGCTGTGTCCTGGCTCTCCGGGACACACATGTGTGCAGCCGCAGTGCCCTCCTACCTAGCCCCGCAGGACTCCAGTCCAGCACCTTTGTGCTCGCCCACTTATAGCCCATTGGACCCTCGGGAAGTGGGAGCAGGGAAGGACGCAGACACCCCAATCCCGGCCCCTGGCACAGGCTCCTGCCAGCCATCACGTTCAGCCTGAAGCCGCAATAAATCGGCCTGTGGGCTGGGTACTTGGACTCAGGGTGTGGCCAGGCCATGGCCACTGCCCTGGGAACCGGGGAACCATGAGGAGTCCCAGACCACAAGGCAGAGCCCCCCCCCCCCCCCCCAGGCTCTGCGTTGGAGGTGAGCATGTGGGTATAGTCCCTGGGTAAGTAATAGGAGCAGGGCAGAGGGCTTTCTGGAGGAAGGATGACCCGCCCTGACTCTAGGAGAACAGGGAAGTCTGGGACTCCCCAGGGCGCCCTTGGGCTGGCGCTGCACAGGGGAACCTTCCTACCCAACAGGGGGACCTCGGCCGCCCTCTTCGCAAATCCTAGCGGGGCTCAGCCAAGCTGGGATCGGGCCCTTCCTCCCCCTCCCTGTTGCTCGCTGCAGCCCCCAGGCCTGGCTGCCCGCTGCACCCTGGCACGCCCCAGCAATGTGGGCACCTTTGGGCAGCAGAAAGAGTTGGAGCCGTGACCGCCAGGCATGAGGAAGATGAGAGAGCGGAGGAAAGCAAAGTGACCGGATCAACTCCGCGCTGCGGCCACGGCCCGGGTGCCCGGCGCCCACCCCGCCCCCGGGGTCCTACCTTGGCGCACGCCCGGGCTCGTGCCCTGCGCGGCGGCGGCGGCGGCGGCGGCGGCGCGCCCGGGCCGGACTGTCGGGGGAGGCGGCGCGGGGCCGGGGTGCAGGAGCGGCGGCCGGGCCGGGCCGGGCCGGGCCGGGCTTTAAGGCGGCAGGTAGGACGGCGGCGGGTGAGTCAGGCCGCCCGCATTCCTGCGCGCGGCGCGCACCTGTCGGGGCAGAGCCGGGGTGCCGCCGGGCCCGCCCCCCGGAAAGGCCCGACCGACGGTGGCGGGAGGAGCCGCCCGCGCCCTCCGCCCCTCTTTCCCGGCTCCGGACCCGGCTCGCGGACCCGGAACCCCGCCCTCCGCCTCCAGATCCTGGGCTGGAGCCGGAGCCGGAGCCCCGACGGCCCCGACGGCACCGCCCCCTGCCCAGCCCCGGAGCGGCCCGGGGAGCGCAGAGCGGGGGCTGATTCCCGGGTCCCCTCCCAGCCTGCCCAACACTGACCCCGTCGGAGCCCCAGGGGCTGCACCTGCTTCCTCCCTGCCGGTCCCGGCTGCAGACAGACAGACGGACGGACAGACAGACATAACTTCGGGGTTCTCGCGGCGGCCAGCAGAAGCGTAGGTCCCAACCTGGCAGCGCCCTGTCCGCCGCGCCCGCGCCCCTGCTGTCCACACCAGGCTGGTACCCGTTAGGGAACCGCCATCCCCGCGGCCCCCACCCCCCGTCCAGTTCTACGGGCACCCTGCAGGCTCCTTGCACCCCCGGGGCCTCTCCATGGGAGTTGGAGCTGCAAGCGGGTTCTCCGTGGCCAGGCTGAGCTCCCTTACCGCGCCCAGCTCGCTCCCTCCAGAAGAACGCACGGCAGAGCGTCCAGGGCTGCGGGACGCGCTCAGAGCGGCCACAGGTGCTGGTCCAGCAGACGCCCTGCCTCAGTGGCCAGCAGGCACCTGTGTGGCTCCTGTGCGGGCTCTGTCCAGGGCAGGGGTGCAGGAGGGGGCTGGCTTCCAGTGGGTGTCAAGAAGTCAGCCTGCGGTGCCCCATCCCCACCCCGAGGAGGGAGAGCTCCAGGGCTGAATGAGAGGCTGGGATGGGGGGCTAAGGGGCTCCCCACAGTCCTGCCTGGCTCAGCTCTTCGTCTCACCATCAGCTCTGGAAGTGTGAACCTTCCCCCGCCGCCCCTCCCCCCCCAATCATTACCAAGTGACTCAGACTATTGAAGGTCTAAGAAGATGCATGTTTGGTTGTTTGACTTGGGGCTACATCTAGTAGTGCTGGAGGATCATGCAGTGTGAGGGGTGGAGCCCGGGCCTCCAGCATACACAGCACAGCTCCAGTCCACTGAGCCACCTCTTGGAGCCTCCTCAGAGATTTTCATTTTGTTTTTGGTGCTGCACCCGGTTGTGCTCAGGGCTTACTCCTGACTCTGTGCTCAGCAATCACTCCTGGTGGTGCTCTGGGGATCATATGGGGTGCCAAGGTTCAAACCTGGGATGGCGAGGTGCAAGGCAAACACCAAAACACCCTCCTACTGCGCTATCACACCTGTTAGCATATCCTTTTAAAGGCTGTATACTATTCCACCTCATTGTAAGATAAACTTCCTTTTGTTATTCAATTGTCCATTGAGGGAGGCTGGGTCACACCTGCCTCTTGGCTGTTGCAAGATGGGGTGCTTATCCCTGCACAGCTGCTCTGCACCCATGAGCTTTAATCACTTCAGTTTGCAATTGTGATTGCTGGTATCTGAGAACTGTGGATTTGGTCTTTGGAGAACCTCCAGGGCGATGAAGAGTTTAGGCACATTCAGAACAAGCCCCTTCCAGCCTCCGGAGTTTATGCTAATGAGGGGGCTGTTGCAAAAGTCATAGGAGGATGGGGTGCTGGTTGCCAGGGGAACAGTCCCGTGATCTGAGAGTTGGACCGCTCAATCTCCACCCCTAGGAGGGACTTCAGGGCAGGGGTGAGATCCTCACCCTGGCTGGGCCAGGGATTTACAGTTCTGATACCAGGGCTGGTGGGGAGCCGGCTTTCCAAACTCTCCCCACGAGCAAATCACTGGGTCCGTGGAGTGTGAGAAGCAGCTGGATTTGCAGCTGGTGACGAGCGGGGCCTGGGGGCTGGCCTGAGTCCCAAGCCCTGAGCCTTGGGGCTACTGTAAGGGTGTGGGAAGCACGAGCAGCTGGAGGGGACACCAACAGGGGCTTTTCCTCTTGACAATGGTCGCAGTCATTCTTTCCCAATGACCACATTGAATGACTTGGCCAGCACTAGACGCCTTCAAAGCAGCTTTTAAAAAATGTTTTTGTTTTTGAGCCACACCCAGCGATGCTGGGGGTTACTCCTGGCTCGGCACTCAAGAATTACTCCTGGCGGTGCTCAGGGGACCTTGAGATGCCAGGGATCAAACCCAGGTCAGCTGCATGCAAGGCAGACGCCCTTCTGTTCCCGGCACTTGTTTTGGTCTTTGGGCCACAGCCAACAGTGATCGGGAGTCACTCCTGGTTGGGGAACCTGGTGCAGAGGGTTGAACCCGGGTCAGCTGCGCGCAGGGCAAGCACCTACCCTGCAGCCCTATCACTCCTGCCCCTAAAGCAGCAGCTTTGACCTTTGGAACCCACCTGGTAGGCTTCCTGCTTTCTGGAACTTACCCTGCCCAAGACTCAGCTCTTTCTTCCTCTGGGAGCTTGTCTAGTTTTCTCTTGGACAAATGGTTGATCTGGTGCTGCAAGGACCTTGCTACTGGGGGAGACATGGAGATCCCCCCGCCCCCACCCCCTTGTAAGGATTGGTGTGGTGCTGGGGGACACCCCCCCCCCCCCCGGTTGCTGTAGTGATCGCACACACCTTAGTTCAGCACATTTTTTGGTGTTTTGGGCACACCCGGCAGCACTCAGGCATCACTCTTGGTGGGCTCAGGGGACCATATGCAAGGCCAGAGATGAAGCCTGGGTTGGCCCTGTGCGCAGTAAGCATCCTCCCTTTGTACCACCACACCAGCCCGCAGTGCATGCTGATGTGCCAGCACCTTGCTGGGTGCACACAAGCAGTACCGAAGGTCACACTTGGAGGCCCCACATTTTGCCCGAGTTTGTGTGAGGTGCCAGGGATGATTCAAGCGAAAGCACGTGCACACCACTGAGCCACAGGCCTCCGCTCTCTAAAAAGTTTATTTTACATCGCGAGATCGAACGAAACGTCCAGTTCAAATGTAGGTTCCTGCTGTTTGGGGGCTACACCTGGATGCTCTCATGGATCACTGCAGAGGGCTCAGGGGGCCCTGGGGTGGCAGGGACGAGACCTGAGTCAGCTACATGCCAGAGTGCCCTCCCACCGTCCTACTACACTCCAGCTCTGCCTGGATTCGCTGGGCCAAATCGGGGCTGGACCTAAGCGAGTTGGTGACGTGTACCCGGTCCTGAGAATCAACCAAACTCATCCTTTAAAGCTCAGCCCATGAGTGACCGGCCAGGCCCCAGCCCATGTCCACGGTGCGGGAGCGAGGAGGCACCTCTGTCCCCACCCATGGCGCTGCCAGCACCCGGTGCCATGGACCAACTCCCACAGGCCCAGGGTGGCCGTGCAGTTGGGAAGGTGGTCTGCACAGAGGCGGACAGCAGCACATGGGGCACCGGGCAGTGGCTGCAGAAGGAAGGGTGCTGGTGTGGCTGCCGGGTTGGCCGTATGGAGGGCAGGGACTGTGGTCCTGGCATGTGGTGGTGGGAAGGGGGGTGGGGTGGCCGGTGGTCCCAAGAGCCAGGACACCCAGTGTCGATGGGAAGCGGGGACTGCCATGTCCCCCATGGGCAGCTGGGTGCCCAGCCCATGAAGGTCAGACAAAGCCAATGAGAGGAAGGGCTAAATCACTTGGCCTCACACTTGTGCGACCCCAGTTTCCTCCTAGACAACCCCAGGAGTGACCCCCACAGAGCTGGAGGCTGCAGTTAATAGCAGGCGTGCCCCAAAGTACCCTGGCCTGGTCCTGTCTCCACAGCACCCCAGTGCACACGTGTCCCCCTGGCAGGCAGGTGGGGCCAGACCAGGAGCCCCGGGGGCTGTGACCTCATGACTGGTCTACTTCTCCCCTTGTTCCCCACCAGGGCACAGCACAGCCCATGCATGGTTTGAACCCCTTGGGCTGCCCCTGGACACAGCTGTGTTCCAGAGCCTTCCCATGGGCAACGGGGTCGCAGGGCCACATCCCACAGTGTACTAGCCCTGCTCCCCTGGCTTCCTCCTCCGACACCCACCTTTCCGCTGAGGTGGCCAGGTGCAAGGGCAGGAAGGCAGGGGACCCCTACCTCACGTGACCGGGAAGCACTGTGGCCCCACAGAGGACACGGGCACTGCCCAAGGCAGCTGCGGGGCAGAGATAACAGGCACAGGCAAGGCGCCATGCCAGACCCTAGGCCACTGGCCCCTCCCAGCCCGCAGGGGCTGATTCATGCGCCGGGCACTGGGGTTGGGTCAGTGCCGCCCTGGGAGGTGATTACCAGAACCCAGGAGTTGTCAAGGGCAGGCAGGGCCGGACGCCTGCGGGGGCGCCTGGGCGGGGCTAGATGAAGCCTCAGCCCCGTTCAGCCTGTGCCCTGAACAGTCAGCCCTGCCAAAAAGAGGAAGTGGGGACCGGGCCTTCCAAGGGTCCCTGAAACCCGATGTGGGGCCTGGTGATGCCCTAGGAGCCGACGGAGGCTCTGCATGTGGGATCCCTGGGTTGGCCCCACTCTGGCCTCAGCACCCCTAGGACCCCAAAAATTCTGCCTGTGGCAGGTGTGATGCACCTGGGAGGCCATGACCTAAGAAAAGGGGCTTTTAATGGGGCGACAGACCCCATGCGCTCAGTGGACACCGTCCGTGGTCGCACACCCCTGTGGTGGCGGTGTCCTGTGTCCCTGGCAATGCTACCGGGCGGCTCCCCGGGCACAGCTGGGCAGCAGGTCCTGTCCTGCAGGGCACCACGGGCATCCTGGGCGCCTGGTCTCCGGCTTATGTCCCTCGCCCGGGGAGGGAGAACGTCTGTGCCTTGCTGGCTGGTGCCCGGTCACTGCTTGGCCTTCTTCACAATGGTGCCCACGGCTGAGATGACGGTGGTCTTGGAGCCGCTGGCGCTGGTGGTGACGGTGACGACGGCCGGCAGTGTGGCGGTGGTGGTGAGGATGGTAGGCTGCGCGATGCTCGTCACCGGGATGGCTGAGTCCCACTTGCTCTTTCTCTTCTGGGCGTCTGGAGGACGGTGAGGCGTGTGAGTGAGCACCTGGGGCACCCCGCAGGCTTGGGGTCCCCCCTCCCGCCCCAGACCGGCCCCTCACCTGCAACAGCGGTGCTGGCCGTGGCAGTGGCTGGGGCTGTGGCATTGGTCGTGGTGCCTTTCTTGGTGCCCGTCACAAACTCAATCTGGAGTGGGAGGGACAGTGAGACGCAGGGCTCTGCTCTGGGGAGGGGACCATGCCCCCCATGGTGGCACAGAATTCACGCTGAGGGTGGAAGCAGGGGACGGGCGAACCCAACACCCTTACCCATCGCCATCTACTCCCACGAGGGAGGCAGAGAGGGGACCTGGCCTCGGGTGAGGCTGGTTACGATGGCACCCAAAGGGCATGTCTGGCCTCACATCTGGGGAACAGTTGGGGCTCAGGGTCCGAGGGGAGCCCCCTGGTCAGCTGATGGCCAGGGAGGCTCCAATGGCCCCAGGAGTAGGGGAAGGGCGACTCCAGACACTGGAACCCAATTGGGATCCAGAAGCACCTTCAGCTGGGCAGGGGCGACCCCTCCCCAGGCCCCCCCACCCCACCGACCCCCGCCCAGCCCACGCACTTTGGTCCGCTCCTTTTTGGCCTTCTCCAACTTGTCCATCTCGATCTTCTGAGCTTTCGCTGCAACAGTGAGAGAGGGGGTTAGGAGAGCAGTGTGGGGGCAGCTCCTGTGTGGGGTGCTGCCTGCACCCAGGGCTGGGTCAGCACAGCGCAGGGACCACCTCCCACAGGCTAAGGGCTACAGCCCCGCCAGTGTCAGGGATTCACTGGAATGTCCCAGTTAGAGGCAGGCGCTGACATCGTGCCCTGCTCTGTCCAGGGCGCCTCCTGGGGCTAGACGTGCAGGCACGTGCTAGAAACCACTCTCGTCTCCCTGGGACTTTAGCCTCAGGATCGCACTTTCCCACCCAAAGTGGCCCAACCAGCTCGCTGTTTTACAACAGTGTTTATCAACCACCATGACCCCCGCCTGAGGAAAGGCTGCATTCCCAAGGGCTCAGCACACACCATGGCCTGCACCCCGGCCCGAGCATGCCGCACTCCTGTCACCCAAGGGTGCCCGGCGCCGGCCTCCCTCGCCCCATCACCCCTCCCGGCAGCAGCTGCCCTGCGCTCCCCGCTGTGCCACCTACCCAAGGCCTCATAGTAGGAATCCTCAGACCAGCCGTGGGGGTCGAACATATCCTGCAACGAACAAGCCCCAGGGGTCAGCGGGCCAGTGCCTGGCCAGGAACCACAGACAAACAAGGGCTGTTCTGGGCCCCGCGATGGGTCCCCCTGCCCGATCTTCCAGGGCTCAGTGGTCACCCAGGCCCTGCCCTGGGCAGTGCCCCAGAGTTACAAGAACAACAGTGGAGCCAGGCAGCGCCCCAGGTCCACGCCCCCCCGAACAAGTACGCCCAAAATCTCTCTGTTTGACCCCAGCTAACACCCAACTGATGGGGGTGCCCTTCTGCCAAAGAACCTCACTGGCTCCCTGGCCGCCGCCCATGCACCCACCTTCGGGTAGTTGGTGCCAAGCTCGTCAATCGCACAGAACTGGATCAGCTTCTCGTAGATGCTAGGGAGGGGAAACTGATTGTGGGCAGGCCCAGAACCTGGGGTGTGGATGCACCCCGAGCACAACCGCTCCTGACCAGTTTCCAACGTCTGCACTCCAGGGACTGGGGACAGACAGGCACCATCCCCCCGTCCCCCAGACACTGAGTGAGGCGGGGCCAGGGAGAAGCTGGAGCTGCGAAGGGGCACATCTGGACCATTTGTTTTTGGAGGGCCAGACCAGGAAGTGCTCAGGACTCATTTCTCGTGAGGTTTGGGAGACCATCCAGGGTGCCAGGAATCAAACCCAGGTCAGCCTTTCCTGCTGTACTATGGTCCTGGCCCTACATGTGGTCTGAAGATGCTGCTGACCACTCTGGTCTGTGACGCTGGACAGGGTCACCCCACACAGGCAACCCACGGCAAGGGCAGACCAAGACCATCTTGTCCCTTCCCATGTGCTGCAGATGGGGAAACTGAGGTCCAGAGTTGGGGTGAGACCCAGCCACGTCCCCCCGCTCACCATCCGCAGTCTAGTCTAAACCTCATGCATGAAGCCTGCAACTGGGGGGCGGCAAGAGGCGCACCTGGGGTTCCGGAACTCCTTCTTCCTCTGGATGATGTAGTTCATGTCCATGCCCTCCTTCACCTTCCGCTCGTACAGCTTCTGGATCTTGTCCTCGGGAGGGGAGCAGGCTGGTAAGGCCAGGCGCCTGCACAGGACATGGGCCCAGAGCCATGCCCGGACATACCAGTGCCCACCGTCCCCTCGGCCCCTCTCCCTCTGTGGGCGAGGGCATGGGGACGAGGGGGCGCAGAGCAGCTGGGGAAAACAGGCCGCCCTCAGGACATGTGCGTGAGTGGGACGACTTACAGCCAGTGGCAGCCATGTCAGCCACGCTCCCCCCAAGGTCACCCCCTTGGATGCTGTCATGACAGCACGAGTGAGATGGCCCCCAGACTTGGCTCAGGCAGAGCACCCCGCAGTCCCGGGGTGCTCTGCAGCCAGACTTCATGGGAGGAAATCCTGGGCCCACACCCCTTCTGCCAATGGGCACCTGTAGGAGCACTAGAGGGGGAGTCCACGCCCCTCCACGGCAACCCCCTGAAGACTGGCCAGAGGAAGCCGTAATGGAGTGGTGAGGGGTCTGGCCTGCACCTGGGAGGGTGACAGCGAGGCCCCCTCCAGCCACTGTTTGTTCTCAGGGCCACCTGGCAAGACTGTGTGTGGGGGGGGATGCGGGCCGCCGGGAGGTAGGAGGGCTGGACCCGCCCTGCCCCGCCCTGCCTGGCAGGCTGCTGGGCTCACAAGCTGGGGCTTGCTGCTGACGTGCGGGGATACGGCACCGTGGCAGGGGGTTGAGCCGACAGCTCAGCAAAAGGGGTAAGACTTCCGGGAAGGGGGCGTCTCTGCCGCTCCCAGCCCTGGGTCGTGAGTCACCATCCCTGGGGGGAGGGGAAGCGGACAAGAAGCAGAGGCTGAGGATGAGGGGGCAACCGTGGTACCCAAGGCTGTTCTGGGGCAGGGGGACAAAGCGCAAATGCACAGCCAAGCACAAACGCCCCGTTTCTCCTGGATTTCTAGCATTTTCCATTCTCACAGGCTCTGGAGACTGTGGCCAAGGGCGCAAGGAGGAAGTGGCCTGTCCCCGGGGCCTCCCGAGGGGTTGTGGGGCTGGGTACAGCATCAGCACATGCGGCCAGAGGGCCAACGGGAGTGGTGCTTACTTGTAAGTGGTTTGAACACCTGCCAGGGGGCTCCGGCGGGATCTTGATCTCGTCAGGTGCCATGTTCCGCACTCGCTCAGAGAAGGAGGCTGTGGGGACACAGAGGACAACTCAGGGGTGGCTGAGGGCCAGGAGCAGGGCCCCTTCCTCTCTCGGCCACCGCCATGGATGTTCCCCGCAGAGTCAGGGCCCTCCCTGACCTGCCGACCCCGCTGTCAAATGCACCCTGGGGAACAGGCTCCGAGCCAGGCAGGGCCCAGGCCGCGGTTTCTCTCGCTCCTGTCCCCAGGGCCCCGGCCGCCTGCCAGCGCTCTCTCCCGCGCCCACACAATGCGCCTCTTGTTGACTCCCAGAACCTTCCCTCATGAAAGAAGCTTCACAGCGGGCAGAGAGCAGGCGGGGCGGGCCTGCGTGCACGGACAGGGCACGGCGTGTGCCCACGACCCCCCAACCAAGGCGGGTTCATGCTTCCTGGGGCAGTCGGGGGCCACTCTATCTCCCGAGAATGTAGAGGATCAGGGGCTGAGCAGGGGCACCCATGGGCTGTCCCCAGCGAGGCACATAGGCTTCTCTCTGCCTGGCCCCCCTCGGGGTGCAGCCAGAGCCCAGCCCAGCTGGTCCTCAGATGGCCACGCAGCCAAGGGGCCCAGGGCGGGCTGGGGCCCAGGCGGGTGGGGGGCAGGGAACTGTGCCCTGGGGTGCTGCTGGGCCTGTGAGTGCCTGGGATAAAGACAAAGGACACCCTTTGGCATTTGCCAGGAAAAAGCCGTTTGGAAAAACAGGGTGTGACACTGTTGCCACGACAACCCAGCCACACTCAGGGCGACAATGGGCTGGGGTGTGCAGGACGGGCTGGGAGCCAAAAAATTCCCATAGGAAGTGGCGGCAAATACGCCCGCACCCTTCCACTCCACCCACGGCCATAGGCCCCTGCCATGAGCCGTGGCACGAAACGGGACCACAGGGCAGCCATTCTGAAGACGTGGCTAGGACTGTACGCTCAGCTCCAGAGTAAAGACCTTCACTCCAGGCACATGCAGGACGCGGTGCAGGCACTGTTAGGCTTGGGGGTCTTGAGTGTGGCCCCTGGCTAGAACTGGGAGCTTTCCTGAACGTAGGGAGAAATTTAGGAGATGAGATAAAAGCTTGTCTTGTGTAGTTCTTTTTTTTTTTTTTGCTTTTTGGGTCACACCTGGTGATGCTCAGTGTTACTCCTGGCTCTGCACTCAGGAATTACTCCTGGCGGTGCTCAGGGGACCCTACACGATGCTGGGGATTGAATACAGGTTGGTCCCATGGAAGGCAAAAACCCTACCTGCTGTGCTATTGCTCCAGCCCTAAAAGCGTGTCCTATAGATTCTGATATTAAAAAGGAAAAAAAAAAGTTTTTGAGTCAGAGGCTGGGAAGATAGCATAGGGGGTAAGATACCGTCTGCCTCGCACATGGCTGCCCTGGGCTCGGTCCCCGGCATCCCAGAGGGTCCCCCGAGCAACTGCTTCCCTGTGTGAGGCCCAAGCCCAGCACCCCGGAGCTGAAGCTACCGCATACAGCATCTTGGGGAGCAGGGGTCCGCTGCCGCGTCCCGCCCGCTGCCCTGGTCTACTGGGCCTTCGAGGAAGCAGCCACACTTGGGGCCCAGGGGAGCCTGTGTGATTCACCCGCGGGCACGCCCAAGCCAGAGCCCAGTGCTGCACCCAGAGCTGCCGGGGAGGAAAGTGAGCAGGTAGCAAGGCCACCAGGCCTACGTAGCAGGGGTGTGCGGGGAGTCACAGCGCCCAGTTAGCCTGTGGGCACCGTGGGCCGGCACACACATGAACATGGAAACACCCCATTCTCCCGGCCATGCCGGACCCCAGAGTCTGGTCTGGTGGGATCCGTCAGCGCATGCGGCTGACCTGGGTTCGACTCCCAGCATCCCATATGGTTCCCTCGAGCACTGCCAGGAGTAATTCCTGAGTGCAGAGCCAGGAGTAACCCCTGAGCAACACCGGTGTGACCCAAAAAGCAAACAAAACAAAACGAAACAAAAAATAAACTGTAGCAGGGGCTAATGAGCCAACACAGGGAGCACTGCACAGTGAGGCTAAGTAAGGGTCACCCCCAGCCCCAGCACCGGGCGATGCCTGGAAAATCTTTTCTGTCACATGGGGGCAAGTCAGGAGCGACCGGTGTGACAGAGAGGGGGCGTCCGCTACAACCCTGGCACAGTTGCACAAAGCCAAGGCTGGGAGTGCTAAGCTGGCCGAAGGCCCGGGGGCTCCTCCATACTAAGCCCCATGACAAAGACCCACATATGGGAGGGGGGGTGTCCCGGGTTTGAACCCTGCCCCGCATGGCCTTCCACATGGCCGGGGGTGGGGCCCCACAGTTTCTGGGTAATGCATAGATGAAACGGGGGGAGCCTGGCTTCCGCCACCCCATGGTGCTAACAAGGGAAATATCAGCTTTCAGGGGACGTGAGGGATGTGGAGAGAAAGGCAGACCCCGGGTCACGCTCCAGCACCTGCGGGCCAAGCCTGGGGATCTGCACGGCCGAGGGTGAGCTTCTGTGGATGGGCCCTGCCCGGGCTGGCTGAGGAGTACAAATGCCTTTCTAGAAAGTGCTACCCGTTCTCTCACCTCCAACAGCTGCAGGTCTGTGCCTGAAGCAGGTGCTGTGGGGAGGGCAAAGGACAGGCCTGGAGCCCCTGGCCGAGGGGACCCAAGTTCCCTTGGACCATTGGGCCCAGTGGGACTCGGTTCTCAGTCACAGTGGCTGAGCTGAGGGAGTCAGCCTTGGGACCTGAGCCACCAGAACAGCCTGGCACCCTCGGGGGACAAGGGATGTTTCTCCCTCGGGGGTCAAAGGGAAGCCTGGCAAGGGCACAGCGGTCAGATGGAGCAGACCCTCCGACGGCCTGAGCCGCAGTCTGGTGTGTCTTCAGTATCCAGTTCCAGTTCCCAGAACTGACCGTGGTTGGCCCGAGGCACCCAAGGGTGTGGCAGTTCTGGGGTAACTGAGGAAGAAAGAGAGGACCCCGGTCACAGGCCCACTGACCCATCTGCCCTGCTGTACCCTGAGCAGGCCTCAACCTGGGAGGGGAATGTTGCTTTTCCCCCTTAGAATAAACATTGCTTGTTTGTTTGGGGGCCATACCCGATGATGCTTAGGGGTTACCCCGGCAGTGCTCAGGGAACCATATGAGAACCTAGGTCGGCTGTGTGCATGGCAAGTGCCCTACCCACTGGACTTTCCGGCCCCTAAACACCATTTTTCTTTAGCCTGGGGGTGGGGCGATGTTCTGGGCTTACCCTGGCTCTGAGCTCAGGAATTACTCCTGGGGATGCTTGGGTGGGGGGTGGGAGACAGTATTTGGGATGCCAGGGATTGAACCTGGGTCAGCCATGTACAAGGCAAACACCCTCCCCTCTGTACTACTGGTTGGCCCCTAAAGATTGTTTTTTTAAGGCAAAAGTGGAAGCAGTAGGGAGCCTTCCCCGGGTGTGGGAGTATGTGGCTCTCTGTGAGGGCAGCCTGGCCCGCGGCACACACCGGCCCGAGGCTCCTGGGCACTTACCCACTAACTCCTGGGGGTCCCGCTTCTCTACTTCCGTGTTATCCTGCAGAAGAGGAGCAGAAACAGGACGTGAACTGGGGCTCTGAGTCAGTTACTCTCTTCACCCAGGCCACTGTGAAGCACCCCTACTCCCAGCCCCTGCACCCACAGTCTCGCATCTCCATCTGGTACTGCTAACACGGAACCGCGAGCAAACACACAGTACTTGCTGACTGCTCCCTGAAGAATTTATTTATCTTTTCTGACTTTCGGTTGGAATGAAAGGGAAGCCTGACAAGGGCACAGCAGGCAGGTGACGGGAGCCCCAGGCAGCCCCAGACAGGATCAGGGCAGCTCAGCCCAGACAGTCCCCGGCAGGGGGCCTCCTCTGCCGGCTCCACTCGGCCCTACTGACCTGGCCCTCCTCAGGACGCGCCACCCGCAAGCTGTCCAGCCCTTCCTGCAGAGACCAGCACTGTGGGTCCCTGCCAGGCCCAGAGCATCTTTTATTTGCGGGGGGGAGGTGTGTGTGTGTGTGTGTGTGAGAGGAACCACATACACCCCCCCTCCCGCCGTGCATGTGTGGTTCCTCCCACACACGCACCGCCCCCCAAGCTCAGGGATCACGCCTGGTGGGGATTGGGGGCCCATATGGGGTCTAGAATTAAACCCCGGGTGAGCTGCGTGCAAGGCCAGCCCTACGCACTGTGCTATTGCGCCAGGCCCTCTCCAAAGCACCTTACCGATAAGTCGCTTTCCTGGGTGGGCTCGGGGAAACACTTCATCTGGACTGAACTGAGCCATGAGGACCAGACTTGGGTGTGGGGGAAAACTGCCTTCACTTCCGGTGTCCCGGCCCCTCACACAGGCTGAGGGGAGGGGGGCTGGGCCAAGTGTCAGAAGCTGCTCCCACCCACTGCCCTTCTTCCTCTGGGAGAGGACAGGTCAGTAACACGTCTACTGCTCCAGCCAGGCAAGGCCTGGGCAAGGCAGTCTCCTCTGCGACCCCGAGCACTCGTGCTGACTCTGGGGTTGTCCAGTCTCTGTGGTGGGCAGGGTGGGGGCATATGGAGGCCCGCCTTGCCAGAGTTGGGTACTCACTCACCAGGCGCCCCCAGCCCCTCTGAGGGACAAGCCTGTCCCTTGTGTCCCCTTCATGCCCTCCTGGGAGCTCTCTGGGTACTAACTGTAGGGAAATATCTGCAGAGACCCCCACCCACCCTGCCACAACCAGCCCGTGTGGAACCCCAGGGACCCCAGACCCCAGCAGGAGGGGCGTCAGGGAGAGCACACACATCCAAAGATGCCAGGTGAAACAAATCAGTGCAAAATCCCCTTCCTGGAAGGCAGGCCAGGGTGTGGCTGACCTCGGCGCTCAGGACCTGACCTTCCTCAGTGGGTGGGAGCATCCCCCACGGCACTGGGGCCACCAGGAGGACACCCGGGGCCCTACACACTTCAGACCTCCCCCACCTCCCCACTGGGTTTCTTTCAGTTTTGTTTTTTGTAGTATCAGACCCAGGGCCTGACCCAGGGCCGCGGCTGCGCCATCACCGTCAGGAACACACAGGAAGCCACAGCCCTGGCAGGAGAAAGGAAGAACCTGGACCTGAAGGCCCAGCAGAGCTGCCAAAACAAAGTGGCTCTGGAGGCGGGTGGAGGCGGGCGGGGCGGGGGTGGGGCCTGGCGGGAACCTGGGACCTCCCCCACCCCAGGCCCCACATCCAGTAGGAGCACATAGGGGCGTGCCGCCCGGGCCCTGCAGTGGCTGTTTCCAATCTGAAAGTGGCTTCATCCGGCCCAGGGAAGCATCCTGGCAGGGAGAACGCAGTTGCCAGGCCAGCAGGGCAAGGACGAAAGTGCCCAAAGGGGCTGGATGTGTGCTGGGTGACGTCATGGGGAGCGGGAACAATGCCTTCCAGAGCTGCCTAAGCACACCGCAGGAAGCCCTCTGCTCTCCATCACTCCGGCTACAGGAAGCCGCCCGCAACCCCTGTATGCACAGACGTCCTCGTTAAGGCCATTTTCTCGGGGCTGTTGCTTCCCCGCAGGGTCTGAAGAGACACGTGGGGTTCCCCCGGCAGGGGGGACGACGACGACAACGACAGAGCAGGAGGCTCTGAGCACGCATACCGAAGGGCCCCAAGCAGACGTGGCCCCTTTTCCTAGAAACCGTCCCCCCAAGTGCCCTACCTTCTGACAGCAAATGAGAGGAAGAGCCCGCCACCCCCTGGGGGTGGGGGTGGCATTGCCCCCGCTGGAACCTACCCAGATACATGGTTGAACTGCCCTCCTGGCCCGTCGGGGACAGGGAGATGGCCCAGGACTGAAGGGCCGCCTGTGCCCGGTCCTCCTTCCTGCATCCACTCCACACCAGGCGCTGGCACACGCTGGGCACAGAGCGCAGATGAGACCCAGTCTGGGAACCAGACAGATGCACAGTAAACGGGCACGGACGCAGGCTCCAGGCTGAGGGCACCACGGGGAGCCCTGTGGGTGCCACCTGTCAGGAGCCCCTAGGGATCACCACGAGAGAACGCCGAGTTCCCTTTGTCTAGTGTTTGGGTCTCACGCAGCAGTGCTTAGGGCTGATTCGTGGTGGGTGTGATGACCCGGGTTCCCACTGTCCTGTTGTGTTTTTAGGCCACCGTTGATGGCAGTACTCAGGATGCCAGGGATGGAACATGGGCGATGGCCAGGCCAGTGCATTCCTGGCCGTACCACCACCCCAACACCAAAATCAGCTCCATGAGGTTGCCAGGAAAGTGGCAGCTCTGGAGTGTCCCTCGGTCTGTCTATGAGCCTCAAGCCAACTGTGTGGCTTCAGGGCTACAGCTGGGCACATGGAGGTCACTGGAAAAGGTGAAAGGGGCTCTGGGGTAGGTGCCGTGCCCGCTAAGGCCTGTCGCTGCTCCAGGGGAGAGCGCGCTTGCCCACTGTGCCCAGGGCAGTGCCGATGGCCTCCCACTAGCCCCCCCACCTCCACCTGCCAGCAGGGAGCTGAGGCCAGCCCGTAGAGGAGGGGACAGGAGGGGTATCCCTAGGCTGGTCCCCACAGTCCTGATAGGTCCACGCAGGCGGGGAGCACGAAGGAATCATCCTGTGTGCAGGGGACAGTCGAGCGGTTTGCTGAGCCCCAATTTTCAGCGCCGGGCGTGGCCTCCAAACCCTCACCACGAAGCCGCTCCTGCCGAGAGCTCAGTCAGGACAAGGTCCCAGGCCTGCTCCTGCCCGGGCACGTCGTGGGTGCTGGACGCCGCCCAGAGGGGAGCGCTGCACCCCAACGGCGCTGCTCCCTCAGCCGATCCTGCTCTGGGCGGAGGCACGGCCACACCTCAGAGAGTCATGCTCGGCATCCGCACCCCAAGGGCAGGGGGGGCCCTCCAGGGCCCTGGACAATGCTGGGCATGGGGCCCCAGGGCAAGCAGGCACTGGATGTGTGGGGCCTCTGGGGCAGGGGGCCCAGGTGTTGGAGACCCAGGTGTTGGCTGACTGGGAGCAGAGCCACCTAGAACTGCGACTGTCAATCTCTGGGCACTCATGGAGCACGACCCAGTGGAAATTCAGTGTTCTAGAAGGCAGGGTCAGTAGGAGACTCCTGGCCACTGGTCATCCTCTACGAGGCCCCAGCTGCCAGCCGAGTCCCCCTGCAGAGGTGACCAGCTCATGGGCTTCTTGGGGCAGCGGTGAGCCACAAATCTGGGCCCCAGGGCCTCTCCGTCACACGAGAGCTACGCCCACAGGCTGCCAGGCTTCATGTCTGCGGCTCACCTCAGGGCATGCCGGGACAGAGTCCAGTGCCCTTCCCAGGGCACTGAGACTGTCCTGCTACGGGTCTCAGGGGCCGGGGGAGGGGCGGCGGCGGCTAAGGGCCGAGTGTGTTGCCTGCCTGGCAGGCAAGAGGCCCTGAGCTCTATCCCTGGCACCACACACCTAAAACAAACAGGAGCAAGCCTCTCCCCTGAGGAGGCTGGGCAGTGCCAGCCAAATGCCAACTAGGTGTGGGCATCTGTAACTGACTGCACAAATGTCACATGATGGGCTCCGGTGCCAATGCAGGAGTGGGTGCTGCATGAAACAGCCAGGGTCAAGGGTCGGCACCGTCTTGGGTCTCCATGTCACTTCTGCCACCTCCCCAGCGCATCCCCTTTTACAGCGGGGGGAGGCGGATCAAAAAACCAAGGGGCCAAACCTATGTTCTCAGAATTCCCTCGAGGGTGCCAGGGGTGAGTCAGGCCACACCGTACCCCCTGGAGGCAGACATACCCTTCCTGTCCTCCCGGTGAGTCAACAGGCAAAGTCCACATCAAGCCGGAAGTGGCAATGCTAAACTTCAAAGCCAGAGCCTCGGACTTTAAAGCCCCGTTACTCACTCCCCAACCCCGCACCTCTTGCCCCTAAACAGGGCAGCTGTGAGGAGCAGCTTTTGGGACACTGTGGCTCCAGGAACAGTCAGTGCTGGCCAGAGCCAGGCAGGCCGTAAACCCTGGCTGGGGGCAAGAGGGTCAAGTCTTGCCTGGGTCGAGTCTAACTGCGGACAGGGGGAGCAGCTCAGGAATCCCCAGGGCCTGAGTCAGGGCTGAGTCGGCTGACCGGGAGGGTGGGGTGGACCCCCTCATCACATCTGAATAAGGGGGTGCAGCTGCAGCTCCAGCCTGGAGTCAGAGGGGCCTCGGGAAAGCTCCAAACCAATCCCGAACCCCGCTACGCCCTCTCTTTTTGGGCCACACCTGGCGGCGCTCAGGGCTTACTCCCGGCTCTGCGTGCAAAGATGACTCATGGTGGCACTTGGAGGACCCCATGGGGTGCTGAGGATTGAACCTGGGTTGTCTACTTGCCCAGCAAGAGCCCTGTGTGCTGTACAACAGTTCTGGCCACACCCTCTGCTGACTGCGTTACCAGGCGTGTGGGTTTCCCATGAGAACTGGCATTCACAGAAATTGTCCCCCTGCACCCCTCAGGCAGTGTTGAGTCTCGCTCAACTCATGTACCGTGAGAGTTGCGTTTTCTGTTATTGGGGAACTCTACTGGGTGGTGCTCAGGGATCATTTCTCGTGGTACTTG